TCAGCAGTGCTCCCCCCCCCTTAATTGAAGATGTTCCACGGCTACAGCCTCATGGCTACAAAATGAGAGAAAGAAAGAGAGAGAGAGAGAGAGAGAGAGAGAGAGAGAGAGAGAGAGAGAGAGAGAGAGAGAGGGGGGGGAGGGAGGGAGGGAGAGAGAGTTGGGGAACGAGGAGGAGAGGGAGGAAGATGGGGGAGAGAGAGAGAGAACCCATAGCGTATCACGAGTGAAGTCTATTGTTGATATTCATACTTCCGCTACCCTGCCAATGTGCCCATCGTTGCGTTTTCGCAACACCGCTGTCTTTCCCATGTGCCCTTCGTTGCGTTCCCGCAACGCGACCGTAGTCATATTTGAAAATAGTCACAAACCCTTTTTGTAGCATTATTTCTTAACAAAATGCATATCTACGCTATTGTAGGGACTCTGCAGAATATGTTTGCACAATTTTCATTACGATATTATTAAGCACTTAGCCTACTTATCTTGTTTTTCGTGACGTCATCACTCACAAAACCTTCGACTTCACTCTGGGAGCTCTAGGCAATAACTTACCGGCCGCACAAACTTGTAACTGCGTAGCATCATGCGCATAACCATGCTACACACGCTGAAACTTGTCTCATCGGTGAGTCTCTTTTAAACACTTCTCAAGCTTCGATCACGTCGACGCTTGCTTGCGTTGCGAAAACGCAACGAAGGGCGTAAATGGGTTACGATATTTATTAGCGAGTTGGGGTGGGCCATATAATAGAATAAATACTGTATGGGGTATAGGGTCAATATTAAAAATTCTTACCCTCTGTGACCCCAATGTAGCTCTCGGGCGAAGACCTCAACAAGCATTATTACCCTCTGTTACGCCTCGGGCAATAACGCATGTTTCGGTTTTCCCTTCAGGCTACAGTGATATCACATCGGGCAATAATTTTTTTCTATTACCCGCTACCTCATGAATATTCATATACCTATTATTTGCATTGATGGATAAGTCATTCACTGGGTCATGGCCTGGATTATCAACTTAAACGCATGCAAGCATAGTTCTTTTCGCTAGTGTATCTGCCTATTATATCCGCTATTATATCGCCTGTTATAGTATATTAGCTTAGTACATCTGGAGATGGTGGATATATCCACCACTGGATAATTCGGGTCACTAACCAATTTTCCCCTTAAACCAAGTTTCATCTCGCTTGGGAGCTGCGCACCCTCGCTCGCTGGTCATCGATATAGATGGCTTGGACACAGGCGTTTGCAAAGAAACAACCACAAGCATGCGGCATGCCGCCAGCAGCGTAACAAAAAGAAATGCCCTCCTTAACTAGCTCATTTATTCATACTGACTCTAAAAGGTATGAATGAAGCCGTCGCAGAACATTTTTAAGTTTAAAGTGCCTCACAGACTGCATTCTCTCCTCGAACCAGTGTATGCAAACGCATTTTGCTGGCGTACCGATAAACAACAAAAGTGTCAACGTGTCAAAAGTGTCGGCATATTAGGTTCAATTCCTGCGTTGACAAATTTCATAGCTGATGTTATTTTTCATTTGTTGCCACTACCGGCCTCCATCATACAGAGCGTGTGAAAGGGGAAGGCAAATAACATGGCTACTGCTACACCCTTCGTGTCATTTCTGTTCCTAACGTCCTTTCAGTCGAGTTCAGCTCACCACAACTCGAAACATGTCGAACATGACGTCAAATAAATTCATAGTGCCGCGTGGCCGGTCGCCCGATCCCAAAGGACAGAAATTTATTTTCAATGTGACTGACTGTGCTGATAAAAGAGCTATCTTCATGATCGCGATCCTGATATGCCAAGGTCAGGGGCGTCGCCACGGATTTTTGACAGGGGGGGACGGATTGGCTGACTAAAAACCCAAAAGTTAGTTAGTTTACCGTACAATTTCAGGCCTATGCACTACTTGTAACGCGTACACAATGCACATGTTCTCATGTTCTCGCGTGGAGGCGTTATTAGTCACACTCTTTTCTACCTGTGCATGAACTGGCGGCGCGAAGCGCCGCGAAAATTGGCAAAAACTCTTGGCAAAACAGTCCTAATACGCATAAATTTTGCATCCCGCGTAATAAGTTTGATACCAGGACAGTTAGGGTTTGGTCACCAAGTCCAGCAGCCCTGCCTCTAAAAAATCGTGTGGTCCTCTGTAAACCGCTGTCAACCATAGGTACAGCTTTTTTCCAACTTCTGTGCAGTGTAGCTGCAGGACTGCGGGGTCGGAGTCGACTTCGGTCGTAGTCAATGGTTTTGGTCGGATACGGAGTTGGAGTCACCAAAATCGTAACAGACTTCAACTCTGAAGTCAGAGTCAACGTCATCCCCGAGGATGGGTCGAATAAGAGCTGGAGATTCTGTTGGCTGTGGTGATTGTAGGGGTCATGGTAAGACCAATGTAGGGGGATACTGAGCATTACGTCCTCCTGGGCTCTCTCAGACCAGGACGAGGTCCTCTCACCCTCAAGCATCAAGCGTTCAAAGGCCATAGTGAGACCTTCTGCTGTCGGATGGCCTCGAACGGGAAGAGGGCCGTTTGAGAGTGAGCTAAAGGTCTTGACTATTACGAATATCCTATGTAAAATGTGTGGTCTCTGCAAGCTGTTGTCCTACTGCACTCTGAGACTTTGGGACAGATCTTCAGCCCTTGTTGGATATGGTCGCCCCTACAAGTGGAGCTTTGGCTCCCTATCGAGGACCTGGGACGGACAGTCCAGAGCTGCACCTCGTAGGCAATGTTATCTTTTAATGTGCCAAGAAACGTTCAAAGATACAAAAGCATCACCACATGTTTTTTTTTTTCACTCCGATGCGTGCCGAGGGATGCCGTGGTCGGAGATGGAGTGGGGACTCCGAGCGTTTTTTTTTTTTAAGCCGGAGTCGGAGTCACCAAAATCATCTACTCCGCAGCCCTGTAAGCAAGGGTACAGTGTCAGCAATTCACAGATTCAATTTGTATACGAGTAGGTATCCGCAATTTCATCCCAAAACGACAATACACCAATGTCGTAGGTCACTTTTTAAATCATTCATGGGGATATTTTTGCGGGGGACGTCCCCCCCGGATTCCTCGACTGGGGGGGACGCGTCCCCCCCGTCCCCCCCGGTTTCGACGCCCATGGCCAAGGTCGTGGTCCTGAAAGACAATTGAAAGTGGTCACCAGGTGGATGCGCTCGTAAAATCAAAAAGATGAAATGTCGTCAAAATCTGCTCCACCCATCAGCGTAACTATAGGTATTTAAAGTGGGCGCATCTGTCTGTTACCGAGGTCCCGACATGGTGACCCATAGCGCGGATTAAAGGTCAGACCGTTGCGCCTTGCGCGATGAAATTTCCACAGCTTATACATAGCCCGCGTTCGATGTCTCTTGGACGGCAAAGATTCTACGTCGTCCGGCCAATCCCGTTCCATAACCGCAGCCAAGCCCCCGCTGACCTTGAACGGGATTGGCCGGACGGCGTAGAATCTTCGTCGTCCGAGAGACATCGAACGCGGGGATAGATCAAGGATGCGCGAGGTGCGGGATGCCTTGAGGGGTCTGAGCTGGACCGGGTCGATAAGGAGTGCGTAGCGCGTGTCCAAAAAGTGCAAGCGTCATAAGCTTAACATGCATAAATCGTATTCGTTTCGGGCTACACTGAGGTAAAAAATTGTTAAAAACCAAATATTTCGGCTTTATTGAGTAGCCTTGTTCACTGGTTTCTGTTTCTTACCTGAGGAAGATTAGAAATGACACTTAGTCAATACCTGATGCATAAATCGGCATGCAAAATCGGGAGAAAACGGCTAAATTCGCCTGATAAATAGGTACTAATGCAATCAAAATGTTTTTTTGTAAACGTCGTGAAGTGATTCCAGGCAAACACTGATGCAAACAAGGATGCAAAACTTCATCGATGTAATAAAGGCTTTGCTAAAAACATTTATCGTTCATAGTTACCTCCCCTTGATTAACCGGTCGACATGGCATAAGGATAGTTAATCTTACTACCGTGTGTAACGTTCAACGGCATCCGTCATCTTACATTTTTCTTCTAAGATTCGCTGTGCTTAAGCTGCTGTGGAGTTAAGCTCACATAGGCACCATGTAGAAATGAGCACTGCTGAATGACAGATGCTCATGTTAACCACGTGTTTGTAGAAGAGTGCCGATTATGTTCAATAAATAAATGCACCAATCTCTTACCAATTCTGAGGGGCTATAGGAGTGCCGAACTGCCTCCAGGTTAACTCGGCCACCTTCGACGGCAGCAGGGACACAGCTCAGGGTAAAGAGCGCCATCGCCGCCGCCACCGCCGCCGCCGCCGCCGCCGCCGCCGCCGCTGCCATCGTCCCTGTGAGTGGGCTCGGCGGCGGAGAGCGGTCGGAGCCGAGCCCGGCCGCCGCGCCGCCGCACCAGACCGGCACCCGAGCTCCGCGGGAAAGGCCAGAATTGGTGTGAAGATGTAGTGTCAACACAGGATGGTGTGCTATATGTCCAGCGCGCTAAGTGATATTGATGATTCGCCAGGTGATGCTTGGTCCCAAAGAGAAACTAGATAAAGATTAGGTCACGAAAAGTGTGTCACAAAGCCAAATGCAGCACAAAAATTATTTACTTATATACATGGAAGCATCTACTGACCGCATTGATTAACCAGCGGGGTCCTTTACACCCATCAAACGTTACTTACATTTGTTCTCGTCGAATGCATATTCTGCTAGCATAAGACTATAGTCTGTTCCATATCAAGTTTGCAGTCGGAGTTTCTTCGGCAGATCGCTCCTCCACTCGAATTTGCGTCTTAAAATGCAAGAGCTGTATATACAGAAATCACGCACTGCCTTCAGCAGGGCACTTCGGCTGCAAACTTGAAAGGAACAGAGTATAGTTATGCTGCAGTATGTGGGTGCGCAATGCGCATAATGTCAATCGCACGGCCTCGTCACATGCATTCGCATCTCCATTTTGGGCATCTGCTGGGCGTAAACGAACGTGTTCTTGGAACGGCTTTGCCAGTAATATAGTCAGTTGCGCACTTTGCACCAAAGGTCCAATAGTGCTTCCTAAAATACAAACTGCTTTCGTGGCAGCGTCATCTCAACAATGATCAAGGTAGCAACAGTCAACATGAAACAAATGCGTGACTTTATCATAACACAATGTTCGGAGGCATGGAATGGGTTGCCACCACCCTAAGCACAACCATTGTCAATTAATGAGAAAGAAGACAGTGAACAACATAAGCACGTATGATGCTTATTCTCACAGTGTGACAAATTGAAGAAAATCGTGACATTCAGCGCTCATATTTCGTCACTCCTATGTCTCACGGGTCTGGTTTCGCATCGGACTTCCCTTCCGCCTCCGACATCTTGGCTAGGGTGTGCAGCAGCTCAAAGTAGAGGTTCATCAGGTTCTCCAGCGTCTGATCCTGCAGGTCGAGCGTGTTGAGCAGCGACAGGATCCAGACCGGGTTGGTGCACATGTCCTGTACTGTCGTGTAGTCGTCGTGGTTGAGCGACTCCTGGAAGCTCTGCACCATCTCGTAGAAGTTACTCCAGTTGCCGCGGCGCTGTTTCTCCATCATACGGTTGATATCTTCGCGCTGACGCTGCATCATGAACGCCTTCTTTCGCCTGACTGCCAGCTCACGCTCACGGCGCCGCTCCTGGCGAAACGTCTCGGTAGCCTCGCTGATGTTCATGATGATGATGCCGATGAAGACGTTGGTCATGATGAAGTGGCCGATGCAGATGAAGCCGATGGTGTAGAGGCGGCTCCACTTGCCAGTCATGTCGGCGCCGTCGATGTTATCCTGCACGGCCGTCCAGCCGTCCGCGGTGACGTAGGTGAACAGCGAGAGCATCGCGCGTCCGAGCGTGCCCCAGTCCTCTCGCGCCGCCTCGTCCGCCGCGAACTTGTTGCTGCCGAACAGGTAGTAGCCGACCACACCGAACAGGAACATGATGAAGACGAGGAGGATGATGACGCTGACCACGTAGCGGCGGATCGTGTCGATCAGCGCCGACACCAGCACCTGCAGGTTGGTCGAGAAGCTGACGCTGCGCAGTGTCCGCAGCGCCTTCAGCGCCCTGAACATGCGGAACACCATGACGCCGCCGGCTCCCTTCACGAACATCTCAATCACAGGCTGACAGAGAGACACGACGACCAGCAAGAAATCGAACAGGTTGGACACCTGAAGCCAGTAGTTTTTAGGTTCGGCGTAGATGCGGAGGATAGCCTCCACAGTGTATATTGCTAGCAAACTCTGATCGACGATCGCCAGAGCCATTTCGTACTCGTAGCGCAGTGTCGGACTGGTCTCCACCGCCAGCACCACCGTGTTGAAGATGATCATCAACATGATGAAGCCGTTGAAGCGCGAGGATTCTGTGAGCGTGCAGACAAACTTGTGCAGGTCCTCGTCCCAGCGGGTCATCATGCGCGATGAGTCCCTCTTCTCGATGCTGGAGCGTACGGTGATCACGTTACTGGGCAGAGTCGACAGTTTCCTGGTTTGGACGGGAGTGTCCACCTCACCACTGGACTTGGACTTCAGTTTCCTGCTCGGCTGCCGACCCAAAGCCCGTGTGTAGAGCTTGGACGACTTCATCGTCAGGTCGCCCTCGCCAGGAGCGTTCACAAGTACCTCATTTTGCGAGCTGGTGGGGTTTAAAAAGGCGACATTTAGCATTGAGCCCTTGTAGTTTCGCGACTGCTGTCTGTGAACAAGCGTTTCCATTTGCTCGGAAACAGCCATACCAGTACCATCAGGTTTGGAACGGTTCGACATCGCTTATTGTTGATGGAGGACGTGTAGGTACAAATATGTCCGGATTGGAGGCATGTAACAAGTAGTTACTTCTTTGCGCTTAGTGCTTCTTCTTTGTGCGGCAAAGGGCTCTTCACTGAGCTCTTACATATAATAAGCGACTAAACCTATTATTGTGAATATTTAAGGATGTTATGACGTGATATGCGATGCTCATCTATTTAAAAGAATGGAGAATGGGAGAATGGAACAAATCTATCCGATCCTTGATCCGATCCCCGATCTATCCGATCCAATCCGATCCAATCCGATCTATCGAAAAATTCCAAGCGTCACGTGATATAGGCATACGCGTGTTCTCCTGAGCTTAGATGTTTTCAGCACAAGAAATAAATGCCACAACGCAGAGTTTATCGAGCGCTAAGCAAGGAGTCAGATGAAAAGTTTATTGTAGTTAACATGATCTTCCATGAAAATTAGATAAAACATAGACACCAGTTTTTTATGCTATCAAGAGTTCACATAAATCTATGACATCATTGTCCATGCTATCTCTGTGTTCACCTTATTATACAGGAGCGAAAATCGTGCGAATATTAGAAGTTAGAACCCACATGGGTTCTATGTTTCATTCCAGCCTCATGCATCACGGTATTGCAGGTGTAGTTAGCCTCATATACGTCAGCGCATTTCCCGTCTACCCTTACTCGCCGAAAGAGCTGTGTCGTATGAGAGAGAGAGAGAGAGAGAGAGAGAGAGAGAGAGAGAGAGAGAGAGAGAGAGAGAGAGAGAGAGAGAGAGAGAGAGAGGCAGGAAGAGTAAGGGAGAGGAAGAGAGCTTCTGCGGCTCCTCGCCACTGGTCATCGATCTTATTACGGTTGTAACATTTCGGTAACATTTCGGTTAGTATCATATTTAATAGCGTTTTTTAGGACTTTCTTCCCAACTCCACAATAACACCTACTAAAAAAAAAACGCAAAAAAAGAATAAAAAAGAGTAAATCCCAGCAAACTATCTAATACCTGCAAAATAAACTTTCGCTTTTCCGTATGCAGTTCGGCTACTGTTCCCGTAGTTCTTACCCCAACTATGTTGTACCTATATGCATCTTTAGCTTATTTGGACAGTCAATGGCTTCCAAGTTTCATCTGATAGGTTTGGCTTACCTTCTAAGAGATCTACGGATATTTTCTAACCCTCTCCAAACCCATTGAATAACTGCATAGTGCATACGCCGAACGGGTTCGTTTGGTACGAACCGGCTCACCGTTTTACCCGTTTTATCTCTCACTGAGCTAGACTCTTATTGCGCTAGAGCTTCGTGGTAAAAACGAGAGCATGTTCGCTTTACGAAAAGCATCGAATCATGTCAAAACTGGAAAAAGATGCCAACGATCGACAAAATCAAACGCCGCCTCAGAAACTCCGGCCGAACGTCGCCGCTCCGCCGCGCCAGCGCGGGACTACGTGCCATGCGGCACAACATGCCTTCAGGCGCTGACTACCAGTGACATCTAGCGACGGAATCGTAAGTAGCCGAATGTAACACGCATCAGCAGCAAAACCGTTCGAAAAGGAGCCGAGTACCTACAGTCGTGCCCGACATTCTTGCTTATCAATTGATGAAATATACTTCATTCGGTTCCCCCCCCCCCCTCCTCCACTACCTACAATTCACCCCGTCGCGCGGTTCGTCGAAAAGTCATTTCATTCACAAAAGAAACAAAATATAGCATTTGCATTCGAAAGCTGACGGTGAGCTGATTCCAAAATGAATTTTTATCAAAATCGTTCGATGGCCTTTCTAAGCAATTGCGTGTTTGTAAAAACGTAGTATATTACCTATATATATCTTTTATTCAACGTGCTGTCATTCCGTGGTCGGTCAGACGGGCCGAGAGCACCGGGTCTGAGAGTAGATAAGGGTCATTTCACGCTTCTGTCTGGCTGACTTTGGTCCATCGTGAGACTGGGTTGTGTGATTGCGCCTTATTATCGGGCGTGGGAGACGCATATAAATATTTGAGGATAATTGTTCGCTATAGTTTTTTCGGCATTCCCTTTCACTAACACGAAAAAACATGCCTATGGTTTGCTTGTTGAGCAAAAGAGTATCTATTACATTTTAAACACAATTTTTTGAAAAAGGCTATCGAACGCTTCTGATAAAACTTACATTTTTGAAATCAGCTCACCGTCAGCTTTCGAATGGCAAATCTCGTTTCTTTTGTGGATGAAATGACTTTCCGACGAACGGTGGTCGTAGCTGGGGGAGCTGGGCTGTCGGCGCCGTATGCCAGATGTAACGAGTACACTGGGCCTATAATACGCTTCTGATCAACCCACTCACTCTATTGACACCCCATTGGCCGTTCCTTTCACACTCCACGAGCGATATGTGGTTAGCGAGCCGCATCTCCGTCCGTTTCCGTCCCACTGTATGTCGACAATCCGTCCTCATAGCCACAGTAAAAAGGCGCCAAAAGTGGACGCGGTCACTCATCAGCGCCTTTATTCACCGAAATATGGGCTGAATGCTCGCATTGCTGGTAGTGATCGCAATGACATAGCTTTTTTACGACATGCATAGCACACGCGTGACCACGTTTGGTTCTCGTGTATGTTTTCTCGGGACAAGCTGATGCATGTGACGATATTCCAATTTTTAGCCCATCCCAATTGGTTCGTGCAAGGCTAAGCGAAAGCGCCCTTCATTAAATAAGATAAAACATACTTAAAACTAAAATACTTCTGAAGCGGGACGGCCATTCCTCATCACTGAATTAAATGCATTTTCTTTGTCGATAGATACCTAGTAAAATATCCATCAGCACAGATGGCTGAGCACCCAAAGCTCAATCTTAAAAATGCCGTTAATAGGATCGAAGAGCATTGGCTCAAGCTCAGCTACATGAAATGGCTGTTAGAGGCAAAATGTTTTTTTTTTTACGCTCATCGACATCCCCAATAATCGTTTTGTTAGATTGGATGCACATTTTTCAGCACCGGTACTTTTGTATCTACAGACTACCAAGCGCCGCACACATGAGCTTACGGCACTTTTTTACCTTTCCCGTCACTTGCCACCCTCAGATTCCCTCCACCGTCGCACTTTTTCCATCGGACCATGCTCCCCTTCAGCATATCGCCCCTTTTTCACCAAACAAACACAAACCCAAACACACCGTACGACAGGACAATGTATTAGCGGCGTCAACGGAACTCCAACGCAAGACACGTGCGAGGCGCTGGGAGCACACCTCCCAAGTCCGACCCAATATAGGTCCGAGCCACTGTCAGCCAGTGTGAGTCTTCACAGTCCCCCAAAACACCTCAGATGGTCACGTGACGGTCGCACACAGCTCAGATGTTGGCGATGAGCGTCTCGAGCTGCTCTTTCGAGTACATCTGGAAATTGTTCTCGGGTGTGATGGTGGCCAGTTCGACGTTGGAGGCGTTCAACTTCTCCTCCATCACCTGCTTCAGGATGGTCAGCGCAGACTTGAGCGCCTCCTTCAGCGTGATCGACTGGGAACAGAGACGAGAGGGCGGGTCAGCGGTGATGCAACAGATAGAAACGTTTGCTATTTTTTCTTCTTCAACATTTTAAGCGGTTTGAAGAAAGGTCTGCTCATTTCTGCAAAGTGCTGGAAATATTTGTGCTCGACAGTCAGTGCGATCAGATTTGTCGACACCAGTGATGATAAATTGGTTCATTATTACATGAAATAAAATTCACGAAGACCATGTTGAGTTGCAAAACATAGACACCAGTGACCTGTCGTGATAGATGGTACAGTTGGTTCAGGAAAGATCCATAAAACAAAATTACCGCCCACGACTACCGCAGGAGTTTGGGTGCGTGACAACTGCCATGGCCGGCAGACAGTGGGCGAATGTCTGCAAGTTCGCTGTAGCGGTACCCAACTGTAAACTGACCGGGACGTGCGCTCCCCGCGGATTCCGCCCCGTCCCGCTGATTGTGAGTGATGACACCGCATTAGACGACAATCCCAGTCGGCACAACTGACTAACGACCGCGAGATCCGTCCGTGGGAGAGACGAAACCAGAGCAATATCCCAACGAGTCATTAGCAGCGGCGCAACCGGAAACCGTATGAATATCACGGGAATGGAGCATTATGGAACGAACGATCGGATAGCGAGAACACAACCAACGCGGGGACCGGTGATTGTTTATGCGTTGGCAGGTGAATAGACACGCGATTAGAATAAAGACAGGTGATTCGATAGTAGCGTCCCGCTATAATGCGCATTCTCCAGCCCAAGGTGCGTCACGCTGCGACTGGAGTCTGCCCCCCGTGTCCCGACACCCCCCCCCCCCCGGGGACTGCAAGTGGTGCAACGCACACTTCGAGAATGCCGGAGAGGTAGGCAATATCCACGGCTTGCGGCAACACAAATAGACCGGCCTTTCAGACGGCGACCGGTCTATTCCACTGAAGCCGCACCGGTCGGCTTAATGTCGCCGCCGCCGAAGGGGCAGCGTCACTGAGTTTGGGTCACGACCAGACGGACCCTGCGGCCGGAGAGGGATGGCGAGACGACGGGAGGGGTGGTGAGACGCCTGGGTGGGGTGGGGGGGGGGGGGATACCTGTCTCCGTCGCCGGGGCGCTACTAAAGAACGGCAGTAAACTCGTGCAAAAATCACTGTCGTTGATAACGTTTTTGGCTAATTGCTTTCGAAACTACAAAATAACCAGAAAGAATATCTTTGAAAACCAGATCAAAGCCATTGTTATTACAATGGCCTTGATTTTTCCTGTCTCCGTTTGTCTGATCAAAGAAAACGGGAAATAAAACTTAAGACCCATCATTTTGCGTTGGCCCTCTCACTATGTTACCTAATTACGAATTTTCCACTTTCCGTGCGTGTCTACACCGACACCTCCCTGGTTCTCCTCAGACACAATTCTAGGCGCGCAGGGAGTGTTCACCCCAACACGGACCCGCGGACAAAGCCGACGCGACAGCAGGGTGTCCAACCGGGGCCTGTTCCCGCGACGACAGGACCGTCCCTCGTCCTACACGTCAACCATCTCTGGGAGATTGGTTCGGCCGGCACTGTCTGGACCGACGGGCGGCGGCCGCCCCCGGCCCCGCCGCCGCCGCCGCCGCCTACACCGCCCCGTCCCCAGCTGAGTGAGTCGCCCGGCAGCACGGGACTGAACACGCCAACACCTTTTGCGATAATCAGTACAGGAGCGGGGCAGGTCTGGCGGTACGGATTTGGACGGGACCGGTCATTGGCATGTGGCTTACGAAATACACCTGGGCAAGGACGGTTTACAAATACATTGAAACATTGAAGCTTCTTCGAAGCTCCACAGAGCTCCGTTTTACCGGCAAATGATTAAAGGGATGATTCCGGCGGTCCGTCGCGCTAAATGCTCATGCTGCACATCGTTAAAATATAAGAAAGGGTGACGATCGTATCGAAAGGGAAAATTGAGACACAAATACTCTTGCATTAAACTAAAAATCGCATAAAATAACAGCACGCAGATCCAAAATTCGCGCATCTTTCTTACAAACGGCACCTAGCCATTCCTAAAACAACGAGCATGTTGGACACCATTGTCGTGAATTACCTAGCTAGTATCTGAAGTTCACGCTCGATTTAAACTCTCCCGGCGCTTCATGCATTGAACGAGGTTATTTACAACACAAAGCATAAAGCTCATCGCATTATTCCACAATGAAACACAACAGAACCCTAATCCCCTGACGCAGCCGTGAAGCAATTAAACTGCATTAATTCCATTGAAACATTGGCATCTATTGTCCGAGGAGCGACTGGCGTCCTCCACAATACACTTTCGTCACCAAAGGCCCTTCGTTGACCTTGGGTGACGATTTCATATGACTGCGCCGCCATTCAACTGCAAAGACTGACGTTTAGTTCTCCAAAACTCCCAAACTCCGAAGGTAGACGGTAAAAGATCACCCACTGGGTGTTCATCAGGTTTTAGAAGAGGGTCAACGGGCAAATGAAGCGTATATAGACCTGACAACGTTGAGGCAGTCCAACCCAATCCATTGCTGGTGTACGAACTCAACAGTACTGATAACTTGCTCCCGAAACATTCACATTAGGGGAAAAGACTGAAAACGCATTTTGACGGCTGTATCCAACTGCTTATAACATTACGTGTTTGCAAGGATGAATAACTCGAAAAGGGCAGGCACATTACCAGCTACAACAGTTATCCTTTATTCGAGGAACCCTTTAAACAGGTGTCATACACCGGATCATCCTTACCCTCTCCCCGTTGTTAGGTGACTTACTTTGCACACTCCCAATGGAAGCAACGATCAGAAGGCCCTTTGACAGAGGGCGATCGGTGCACAAGAACACACAACTGAGACAGCTGAGGATTCTAAGAAAACGATACAGCACAAGCAAAGCCTTACAAACCGGCAAGCTATTCAGCACCACCGAACATTCAGATACTGTTGCAAGTTGAGGGACGAGCGTGCCACTGTCCGTTCACCTCAAGTAGTTTGGATTTAGAATAAGCAGCACTAAGAACGGGTGATCATTGATCACCGATGTCTTAACCTAGACAAGGTTATCGCCAAGAGTAGGCGCGGTGTTCTGCAGACTGAATAGACTGACCCGTCCCTCTCCGATTCCGAATGTTTCGTAAAATGTCAAGTCGAGAAGTAAGCTCTCACTACGTTGAGTCCGCTGCTCTACCAACTGAGCTCCAATCCTCCCTCCCTCCATATTTCTCACCTTGTGGTAGGTCTCCTCGAGACTCTGCTGTGCGCCCTCGCTACCCGAGCCGATGGCCTTTGCGCTGTACCGCACAAATGTGCCCGACGGGTCCATGTGGTACAGCTGGGCGCCATTTTCATCGATACCGCCAAACAGCATCGCAACGCCGAACGGCCGCGACTGGCAGAGAGCACAGGCGAGTCAGACAAAGTCACATATTCACTACGTTTCCATGACACGTCTAAATCGATTTAGTGAAATTTCACGTACGTTTTTCTCGGAAACTATTTACCTTATGCAAAAAAATGAGCGTATATATGGTTTTAGCTAGCACCTAATCCTATATTCACAAAAAAATGAGCGTATATATGGTTTTAGCTAGCACCTAATCCTATATTCACATTTCTAATTACGCCTAAATGCTATGATGGAGCAAATCCATTTTTCAAAATCGGCTTAGATTGTGCCATGGAAACGTAGCCATCGTCAGGATAGGTTAGACGAGCGAGCACGGTCACAGGCAAGTAAGACTAGGTCACAGGGAAGAGTGAGCTTTCAGGCAGGTAAGAAAAGGTCATAAGGTCATGGAGAGGTCACGATGGGTTACAGAGAGGTCAGCCGGGGTCAGAGGGTCAATGAGACCGGAGACGTCATAATAACTAAGTCAAAGGGTCCGGAAGAGGGGATAGCTCACAGGCAGGTCAGTCTAGGTCTCAGGGAGCGCGGTCAGTCGAGGGTCACACGAAGAGAAAAAAGTCATATGGTAAGAGGCAGAGGGGAAGATCATGTCGCCCACAGCGCCCAGTCACGCGCCATCCGGTGCTACTCCTGAATCACAGTGGGCAGTTTAGACTAACAAAAAAGCGGCAGCGCAGACTGCGGAGAAGCATCAACAAAAAACGATGATTTGACCGGCTCCATATATAAAGATAAACAGGCGCTTCGTGTCAATAAAAAGCAGCATTCTTAGGCTAAACGACGATTTGTATTGAAGAATGTAACAAGAGATCGGTCACATGCGAAGACACATGCGAGTATCAGCCATTTCCGACTGCTTCCCACATTATCCAGCTGCAAATCAGGACTCCATTGTTGAACAAATTCAACGCAAGAAAACGTGTTTTGCAAACCGGCCTACGATGTTTTCTATCAAACTAGCCTCAAGCTTGTCCAATAGCCCATGAACCCTCTGTCCAATACTCACTCGACCCTCTCCTGTAGAAGGAGGGGGGGGGGGGCAGATACGCACCATGGCAGTTTCGGCGTCAGCGTCGCCGAACTGGATGGCCAGGTTGGAGACGGCCAGCGCCACCGACTCGACCTTCATGCGCTCGTTGTAGAGGAACCAGTGGTTCTGCGCCTCCACACGGGCCCGGTCAATCATGGTCCGGGAGTCGGCGATCAGACCCGAGACGGCGCAGCCTGACGGACGGGCAGCGGGTCAGAAGTGGGTCAGAGAGGGTCACCGGGTCGCACCCTTGCATACCGGTCAAAGCGATCAGCACGGGCCAACAAAATCAGTACGGGTCACCTGGCTTCGGCTACGGCGCACGGCTCCTCTGACTGAGCGCGTACCTAACTTAGTATGTTTAATCACTAATGATACCTAATTGAAGACTCATGAGGCAGCTAAACATGACAGTTGAAAATACTATTCAAACTTGTTTGGAGTAGAGCATCATTCATTCCGATACGAAAAGACGCCAATCCTCAAAACTAAAAGCGAGTCACTGCTTAACTGACTATTTCCCACGACAAGCCTAGCACGTTGATAATAAAAGAAAACATATATTTTCCGTTCAATCCCAACCAGGAGCGTCTCTGAACACCTACCGATGTGTTTATCGATCTCGACGATCTTCTCTAGTGTTGTGGGCTCCATGAGAGGAGAGGTGACGCGCTTCTCGACGGCGAGCACCACGCCCTCCGACGTCTGGATGCCGATCGCCGTGGAGCCCAGTTTGATGGCCTCGATGGCGTACTCGACCTGAGAAGGACGGGATGGTGGTTGGTGGTGGTGATCGTACTATTCGTGAGAATGACAAAATGCTGGTGATGGTAACCGTAGGGGAAGGTGGGGTAAGACGGACCAGCTAAGGTTTGAGGCCGCATATCTTGCTACACTGCTCTCGTAATTCATATTATTCATAGTCTTCGGAATGCTCAATCCTTCCTCTGTTGATATGTGTAAAGACTAAATTTCAAATTAAAGACATCTAGGTGGTGGATGCTCTTAAAGAGGGACATGTCAAAAACTCAGACAAGAAAAAACGTGGGGTAAGACGAACCACCCAGCAGTGCCTGCTATCCGTTCATGTGTGTTACACTTCTGCTCTGTACCCTTGTAAGAAAAAGTAACCAAAATGGTAAAATAACAAAATGAGCCTTTATTCTTTACTCATGTGTGATTGAAGTGCAGCTAAAAGCTGGGAATATGTGTGTTGATTGTCGTTTGGCATGAATGCATGCTAACTGAGCACTTGCAGGCATGGCTCACATGCAACAAAGACTCCTTCCTGAAAAATTAGCTTACTTAAACTTGTGTCAATGTTTTGGAAAAGAATTTCCCATATGCAGGGTACAATGGACCACCACAGGGTAAGATGAACCACGGTGGTCCGTCTTGCCCCTATTCTAAATTCTGTCATTATCATGACGTATATGTCAAATAGCCCAACATTGCAAGACCTTGACTTTCCTAAAGTGTGACTATAACTAAGTTTATAACTTTGTTCTTCACAGTTAAGTGCAAAATAGAAACTAATCATGCAAGAGAGGCGCCGTAATTGAATCACCCGTAGACCTCTTATATTAGATCGGTTTGACGAAACACAACATTTTTCTCAATAACTCAAAAGCTATGCATCCTAGCAGCATGAGCTCAAGGTGGCCATTGTTACGAAGGAAAACAAACATAGTGAGTGCATAAAGCAGTAGATACCAGCAGCGGTTCAGCCGGGAGGGCTGGTGGTCCGTCTTGCCCCGCTGGGCCGTCTTACCCCACCTTCCCCTACTTCTCGTAAAGAGAACAGTATGGCGTTGTGATCAGGTCCTGGAGTCATTACTATATAGGCGGACCAATTTATCATAGTTAAGCATAAAGAATGTAGTTAGCTAGCTTATTACGCGACTGATAGAAGCTGCCACATACGAACCAGAAAAGTAAGCACGACCTGCCCGATCCCCGCACAAATCGATACAGCCCATAGCACTCGGAACAAATCACACATATCACTGGAAACCAGAGTATATATGCATTATCAGCCAGCAGAGATGCTAGCTATCGAGCTACGGCCGGCAGTCAGGTTCCAGTGCCCAGCAGTAACAAGATACACTTGTAGTAGAGATGAATACGCGAACACGATACCACGGCACGATGCCACGGCAATGGCTTCCAAATACTAGAGCATAATCAGCATTTATAAACAAATGTCAAACAATAACGTAGGTTCTCCATATAGATTAGGTTCTATTGGCGAGTACGAGGGTGTTTTTGAGGAAAATCCACAGCAATACCACACCGATAGCAGAGCCATTATTCGGCCATTATTCGGCCATGCATCATTTGCTAGTGGTTTGGAGAAGTAGTGTGACAGGCAACGCTTCTCTAGCCCGGTAGACGAGCGAAAAGGACACCGTACAATTGACAGAAGTACGATCAGACTAGCCTGCCACCATCGCTTCGGGGCGCGACCGACATAGGGGTGCCCAGTGCCCACCGACCGGTCCCGTAACCCCACGGGGAGACCGCACCCGACTCAGTGAACAGACGACACAACTGTCTTTGCTGCAAACAACGGACGACATCTCGGGGTCTACGGGCAAGACACAGCAATGCCAAATATAACCCCGGGGAACAGATGCGCCCAATGTCGTAAAAGATGCGATGCACGACTAGTGCTCTACAATCTACACCTGCCATGGACTGCGTAACCAGTGGCAGTGTGCTCAGATATCGCTTTGATAAATACTTGTGTCGCAAAATGTCGGAATAAATTATGCAGAGCCGTGCAGGAAAGACCGTGCTCGAAAGCGGATCAGTGGGCCAAGAGTCGCCAATACACCGAAGGGATACGACCAGCGAATCGGCAATTACACGCAGCGCGTTAACGGTCTAAACCACTTTCCATCGTAACCAGTGGCAGTGTGCTCAGATATCGCTTTGATAAATACTTGTGTCGCAAAATGTCGGAATAAATTATTCACTTTATGAAATCACAGCCAGATTCATATCGTGTTTCATCTACTCTGTATAAGATTGCACGGTAACTAGCCAGCAGCTGTAAGTGTAAATAAGCTGATAAGGCATGGTTGATGAGTTCGATGAAAACACGCCTGAAAAGCAGCCTGGAATTTGTTCAACATCAAAGGACGATACGTTTCTAAACGCATCGGCGCTGCTAAGCTAATCCTGGCATATTTGAGCATGTTTGATTACGTATAATATGGACGGAATTAATTGAGCTCCAGCTGCCATTAACCTTTCGCCGCCTATGGGAATGATTATTTCTATCTAAAAACGACAACATGCGAATAATTACGCATCTAACTGCAGGCACTGCAGCTAACGATAGTATGTAAGCGCTCAGTATAATTCAGAGCGAACGACGAACAGTGGGCTTAAATTTAAGAAAATAGCCAATACCAGTGATGCAGAGCCGTGAAAATTTCAGACGGCTCCGGCTCCGGAGAAAAAAAAAATCGGCTCCAGCTCCGGCTCCGGCTCCGGGTGAAATGTCATGGCGGCTCCGGCTCCGGCTCCGGCTCCGAGTAAAATGGTCCGGCTCCGGCGGCTCCGGCTCCGACTCAGTACATCCCCTATGCGCAGGGATGCGGAGCCGTGGAAATTTCAGACAGCTCCGGCTCCGGGTGAAATGCCATGGCGGCTCCGGCTCCGGCTCCGGGCAAAATGTGCCGGCTCCGGCTCCGGCTCCGCACCCCTGACCAATACAGTATTCACTGTGGCCCGATTGATCAATCACTACTTATCGTTCATTCCTGTCCCTTTCCACTGTTTTAGAACAAGCCACATGGAACTCCAAGCATGAACTGCGCACTCATGGAAACACAACACAAAAACATAATCCAGGGCAAACTGAAAAGGATATCGATAAACATCGTAAGTGCATTTCACATAGTTTTATGAGCGTACGGCAAGGTTCAATGCCAGGTAGCTTTGAACTTCAGTTACATCTATTTTTGTTTTGCTTGTATAATTAAGCAAAACAAAAAAAGTTTCTTGCAAACAATCGGCGCACAGTATTTCCAACCGACCCCTACGACCAGTGTCGAGTTAGAGCGACATCTGAATGCAGCACATAACACTGTCGCTCTCCTTCAGATCAGCGGACAATCGCGCGCCGGGACCTCGAGCGGGCGCCTGAAGAGCCACCCGAATAGGCGGTAACGACTGTCAACCCATAGCCTTCTGGATTAGACGGGCACTCTATGTGGGGCGCACCATAACACATATCCGCTTTTACCCGACGCCTCCACATAACCATCTCAAGATGAAACAACGCATCGAGCATCTTCCACGAACTATTGAGCTCGAGAGGTCAAATGCCCTTACCCAGCGTATACGAGCAAGTCCGTTTAAACTGTTGCTGAAGGTTGCGAACAATGAGTCTTCGCCTTATAGATAGGTGTGTGTTGATCGTAAGTTTGCCCGTTTCCGGCGATGGAAGGCTAATTCCAACACCAGCAACAGAAGAAGCATTCAGTGTGACCAAGTTTGTGTCGGCAGATATAATATATAATTTAATAAAATCTTGCTCCAATAGCCATCGTCGCACCTTCTTTCTAAGAAGACTCGATACCGATCAAATACATTTGTCTTCAAGTCAAACGTTAAATGCAGTCACTGACACTTGGTTAAATAGGTAATTGCTTATCTGATACCGAATCTAACTTCGACGCTCAACATATGTATCAAAAGCTCCGTTACGAAAGCTGGGATCTTCAGAAAAAGAAGCAAGTCACCGTCACAGAGCAGACGTGAGGCGAGAGAAGTAAGCTAGCTACCACTGTGAGCTATCATATCACTATAAAATAAAGTAACAACACACAAAATGCCTCCTGGTTCATCATTCCAAACATGTCAACTAGGAGTTACTAATATAGGTACCGATACAGTTATCGATAGACTCGCCTTCGGCACGAAGCCCGCCCCGCCCAGCGCGACCGGCGTTCTGTAACTCACCTGAAAGAGTCGTCCCTCGGGAGAGAAGGTGTTGACGCCGCGGTCATATTCAGAGCGTGTGAGGAACATGACTGACGCTGGAACAAACGGGCGCTTCAGTTAGTAAGGATTCGATAGTGGATAGTGTATAGTTAGAAGTACGAATATTCGTCAATATATCAAAGCAGTATATCAAAACATATAGCATCAACAAGACTTCAGAGTAACAGCAATGCTTTTGCTGTTTTAGAGGAACAGAGGAGGCAGGAGAGTCGGAGACTAAGGAAATCTGAGGAACAAACAAAAATGTTATAATTTTTCATGATAGCGCCGACCTATGATATTGGATACCTATGTGTAACAATGCCACTAGAGAGGATCTCAGAAACATTGCCTGAAACGCCAACCTTTCAAAATGACACTTATTATCATAATTGCCATCTGAAACAGGCTCATCTTCTTCCCGCCTTTGTATCCATATTGTTATTTCCAAACTTCTCTGTATCCACATAGCTTGGCCTGATCTCCACATTTGTTCGTAACGCATTTGGTCACCCATCATATTTCTCCTTCTAAGCAATCTTTCGTCTGCAGATCTTCAATAATTCTTCATCAGCAGATCTTCACGACCCCAAATCTTCACCCATGTACGTGGATGTTCAGCCGAAGGGGTATGCATTTCTTTGAATAAATTTGAAAGCACGAATCTTCCTCTGCAAACCTTCGTCCATGAATGTTTGTCCATTTCATAACAACATTACCCCCATGGCTATGACGCCCTCAACTTGGCAGTGAAGTATGACAGAAGTGTGGATTGAATTACTATCCCTTGAGTCTTATAACTGTGTTATTAGTAGGGTGGTTGGCCTGGTTGGACCGTGGGGAAAATAAGCTGTCTGCTCCTGGCTTAGGAAAACATCTAGCCTTTTGTCATTGGCATTCCTACACCGAGTTTCCATATAGTTAGGTAAGTGATGCTGGGGTTGTTGGTCCCTATCATGGTGATTGGACTGGACATTTAGAAGGGGTGTTAGACATGACTTGTAGTGAATCTCACATACCTAGGAGGAAGGGATAAGGATTCATTCATATGCTGGTGGCTGGGTTGACTGTTGAGGCAAACATCTTGTCACCCTTCCACACCCCCATCATCACAAGGTAGAGGCTGGAGAGTGCCATCTCATAGTCTTAGTAAGGGGGGAGGGCAGGATCCTGTTGGATCTAACTCCATGATGGCAGGCCTCTGGGACATTCCAAAATAGCTTGCAAAAGCAAGCTAGGTGTGGGGGATGAGGGGGTCACAAAATGCAAATTGTACAGACTAGGTATGTCATAGATACTGACTGGTGTGGTAGGATGAACAACTCTTTGCTGCCAAAGATTTGGGTGGACAAAAATTTAGTCAACAATTTAAAGGGAATATATTTGATGAAAATATGCAAAGAATAAATGAAAACACAAGGAAGAACAGCTACAATTGAAACCAAGCAAAATGAAAGCTTAAAACTTCCAAAGAACTTTGATGAGAAGAAATGATGCGACTTAGGAGACAGGAGCTGCAGGACAAAGAGCTGCACAATACAGAGAGATATAGGTTAAGCCAGGTTGGATATGGTTGGAGAGGGAGGGGTGGATATCGCGCAAAGGTAAGGGGTGTGTATTGAGCTCTTATAATAGTTAAAAAGCCTTCTTACTACTCCAGAAGTAGATGAGAGATAAACCATGAGAGAAAGAGATAACAGTGAACGAAATGAGAAAGAGAACTGTGGAACATGTGAGAAGATTGTAAGAGAGAGAGACAATGGAATCAAATGCGACAGATGTGGCGCATGGTATCACGCTGGATGCCAAAGCCTGAGTGCCGAGTTCTACAAAATTTTGAAGAAATATGAAGAAGAGCAATGGTTCTGTAAGATGTGTCGCTCGGAAATAAAACAACTGGATGACAGAATCAAGGCACTGGCAGCAGAGAACAAAGATCTCAAGAAAAGGGTCCAGTCGCTGGAAGACAAGTGGGAACTATTCAAAACCGAACTCAAAGAAGAAACTGTGAAATGCACTCTGGAAAGGGTATCACATGAAATGGGCAAGCACATGGAAGAACTTGAAGAACGGAACAAAAGAAAGAACAACATTGTGCTCTACAATGTACCCGAGTCAACAAAAGAAGACCCGAAAGAAAGACAATCCGATGACATGGTGAAGTGCTGTGACCTGTTTGAAGGATCCCTGAAAGTGACAGACGTCAAGATTGAAAGTGTGGTCCGAATGGGAAAGAGAGAAAGTGAAAGAAAACGTCCCCTGCTGGTGAAACTTACAAATGAAAGTGAAAAGAAGAACATTTTGGCAAGCGCCAAAAATCTGAAGGATGAAGAAAACCCATGGAAAAAGCGAGTAGGCATATCACGAGATATGACAAAGATGGAAAGAGACCAGGACATGAGACTGAGGGAAGAACTGAAGGTCAAAAGAGCTGCTGGTGATCACACATGGTACATAAAAAATGGGAAGCTACAAAAGAAAGAGGGAGAGGTGCAGAGAGAAAGGCAAAGAGAGAGCCAGTAAAAACAGATAGATCAAAAAAGAAAGAAGATAGAGATGTGAAAAGGATCATTATAAATTTAGTCAATGTGCAAGGTTTAACAAAACCAAAGGTGATAGAGCTAGAACAGCTCCTACAAACAGACTGTGATTTCATATGCCTTACGGAAACTCAGCAAAAATATGAAAAAGTCCAATTATCAAAGGGCATAAATAAAGTTGATAGTATGCGAGACATGAAAGACAAGAAAGGAGGCGGTTTGCTCCTTATGTACAAATCCAAAGATCTCTTCAATGTAACGAAGGTACAAACTACAAGCAGTGATATTCTCTGTGCAAAGGTGGATATAGCTAGAGAAACAATGTATATAGTGATAGTTTATTTCTCTGTTGTTAACAAACACGAAGACAAAGTACGAAATGACAGAATGAAAAAGGAAGTGGAGAAAATAATTATGAAAACCAGAGAAGAGCAGGAAGCACTTATGATACTAGGTGACTTCAACGGACACATTAGTGGACTGGGAAAGCAAAAAGAAGATGACAATGGAAAAACAGTTCTTGAATGGATGAATGATCATGCACTAATTTTACTAAACATGGATGAAAGATGCAAGGGACAGATAACATGGCAGAGAAAAGAACAGCAAAGTGTGATTGATTTTGTAATAGTAAATGATAAATGTTACAAATGGTTTGAAGAAATGAACATAGATGAAGACAGAGAAAAGTTTGATCTCTCAGATCACAATATGATCACTGTGAGCATGAGGCTACCAGATGGTAAGAATCTCAATTTCTCCCAGGGGAAAGAAAAAACAGTAGAATACTACAAGACTGATGAAGAGGCACTGAAAGAGTTTGCAGAGGAAGTATGCAGAAGGGTACAAGATGAAGAGATGCAAACAATGGAGATGTTAAATAGAACTATGCAAAATACTGCAGAAGACAAGCTAAAAGCCAGATATATAAGGAGAGTTCTGAACTCACAAGTACAAGTGAAAGAACCTCCATGGATGACAAAAGAAATAAAAAAAGAAATCAAGAAAAGAAAAGAAATAAACAGGAAAAAGCGAAATGCCCAATCTCAGGAAGAAGTCGAGGCATTGGAAATATTGTATCTGAAACAGAAAAGACATGTACAATCCCTGATCAAGGAGCAGATGGGTATACATGAGAAGAAGATAACCAATGAAATAAAATGCAGCACAAACAAAAGCAAAGCTCTATGGAAGAACATTGATAGCCTAAGGAGAAGGGATTTAAAAAAGAATGAGGAAACAAACCTGTTCACCTCAGATGGACAAAAGCTGGGGAAAAAAGCAGAAAAGGAAGAACTTATAAGATATTGGAAGACTGTATACCAAAAGCATGCAAATGATATAAGTCAGATATGGAATGAAGAAAGCAAAAATGAATATATCAGAGCATTAGAGAATGAGGAGCAATCTAGCAATGTCAGAAGACCACTACAAGATCATGAAGAGATGGCCCAAACTGCTACCAGAGGCCTGGAGCCAATGACTGAACCAATCATAAGTGAAGAAAAAGTTCAGAGATGTGTGCAAAACATGAAAAGCAAGACATCAGCAGGCCCAGATGGACTGAAAACAGAGATGTACAAAGCACTCCTTAAAACAAGGAATGGAGTGAAGATACTAACAAGCTGTCTGAAGAGAGAAGTGGGAGAAAACAGGAAAATGAGTGATTGGAAGACATCAAAGACAAGAATGATAAAGAAGGTGCCACGCCCAACAGCGAAGGATTTAAGGCCCATAGCACTTACAAATGTAGCGTACAAAATGTTCATGACCCTGATGAAGAATGAAATTGAAGAACACTTGAGAGAAAATGATGCTGTAATTGAAACCCAAGCTGGATTCACGAAAGGGGGAAAGATTGAAGACAACCTCTTCATACTGAACTATTGTGTAGAAGAAAGCTACAAAAGAAAGACCCCACTCTATGTTACATCTATCGATTACAGAAAAGCATTCGATTCAGTGAAAAGAAGTGAGATGATAAGTGCTTTGATGACGTATAAGATTCATCCTAAAGTTATCGATGCCGTAGCAGATATTTACCAAGGCGACTCAACACTTATCAGCTTGAATGATGACACAACAGAAAAGTTGGACGTGACAAGCGGAATCCGACAAGGGTGTACCGGCTCCACAGCCTTATTCAAGATTGTCACATATATAATCACCAGAGAAATACAAAAGACAACTCTTGGTTTCAGAAACGAGAAGTTTTACATTCCAATACTGTTCTTTGCGGATGATGGATTGATACTGGCAGCTTCACTGCAAGAAACACAGCTACTGATAAAAGTTTTAAATGAAGTGAGTAAGAAGTGTGGTCTAGATATAAACAAAGACAAAAGTGCTGTATTGATATTTAACTGTAAAGAACAGCCGGAGGAAGTAGAAGGAATACCCACGGCAGACAAGTTGAAGTATCTTGGTGTGAAGATCGGAAATCAGAGGAATATGTTCAAAGAGCAGAAAAGGCAGATGATACAAAAAGCTCAAAGAATGGCAAATATGACGTATGGGGTGGTCGCAAGAAGTTGCAACAAACTGCTGATAGGGAAAACCTTCTGGAAGAGCCTTGCTCTGCCATCCATATTATATGGTGTCAATATATTCCACGTAACAGAAGAAGAGGTCAAGAAGCTGGAAGTTATAGAAAACGGAGTATATCGGCAGATACTTGGTGCACCGAAATACACAGCCAACTGTGCCCTCCGAGGTGAAATTGGAGCTTCGGCGATGAAAACAAGAGTAATCAAAGGACATCTACAGTATGTTAGAAGCACTCTACAAGGAAATAACCAACTATTGAAGGAAGTGATAGAAACTCAATTAGAAGAAAAGGGTACGAAATGGGCGAGGATGATTATCACACACTTAGAAACCCTAAATCTAAACCAAGGCGACCTTAGAAACATGAAGAAAGAAGAACTAAATAAGAAGATGATTAGTTGGGACGATAAAAGATGGAAAGAGGAAGTAGAGACTAAAACAAGTTTGAAGGTATACAAGAGATGGAAGCTGAAGATAAAAGAGGATGATGTTTATGACAACACCCCGCAATCAAGAATCCTCTTTCAAGCGAGGACGGATACTCTCCCTCTGAACGCAAGGAAGAAGTTTACTAAAGAAAGAACGAACTGTGCCTTGTGTGAAGCGGAAAATGAAGATATTAATCATTTCTTGCTAGAATGTCCAATATTAAATGAAGTTAGGGTGAATCATCGTGAATTACAACAGCCATACTTGGAAGACAAAGAAGAAGTTATAATGAGATTTCTATTTGATAAGGAAAGAAGGAATATGGAAGAAAAGAAACAGATTTTGTACAGCATGTGGACCCTAAGAACTAAAAGGCAAAAAGAGCTCAATACTTGTTAAGCACCCCGTACCAACTCATAGCGCGATAGTTTAAGTTAAAGTTTAAAAAGAAAAGGAGGAGCCGTTGCAAAGGCAATTCCTCAAAACCGTCAAGTTCAAGTTCAAGGTTTCGTGGACTAGGATTAGACACTGATCTATTTGGTGCCCAGTGCCCACATTGGTCATAGGTACTAGACACTGATTCAAAGACAAATTGCTCAGGAATGGTTGTGACGGCGCCCAGTGCTGAGTGCCAGTCATCTCTTCATGAATCTATGATCAGTTTCAGTAGCAATCCCATCTTGCAGCAGGGAGTTCCAAAGCTGTACTGTGCAAATTGTGAAGGCCATTGCCCATTGTTCTTGGTTTGTAGGTATCTGGCTCCTTTACTTTCAGTTTCTTGTCATGTCAATGCCCTTATGTTCATTCCTGTTTTCTTCAAAAAGCTTGTTGTACTCAAGCCTTGTCACCCCCCTCATGATTATGAAAGCCAGTATCAATTCACCTCTTCATTCCCTCTTTTTTATATCACAGACGATGCATAACAGCAGTTGCAAAATGTCATCACCTCAATGATCTGACATCTTACAGGTCAGTAGGCGGAACTATGGTCATGAGTACCCAAATATAGGAACGTTCCCATTTTTGGGAACGGAGTTCCCAAATATGGGAACGGGCGTTCCCATTTATGAGAACGGAAGGCAATTTTTCGGCCGTTCGCCCACTAAAACTCAAAAGTGCATCACGTCTCAAAAAAGTGCACGCTGATTTAAGTATCTACTAAATCTCCATAAAGTTATCTTTAATCTGACCGTGGAACAAGGAAATTGACCGTGGAATGATATTTTTAATGATTTTTTAAAAATGACAGAATGGTGGAAATATGGGTTATACGACATTTAACATGCAAGTTTAAGGAAAATGAAGCATTTTTTACATTTTGAGGTCAAGTATAATAATTTTCGCCTGGTTATGAAGTTTCATTCTAGCGACACCAGATGATGACATATGCAAGCGAACACGCGGACAGTCCCGAGGTAATATTGTTGACATTTGGTGTCGGGGCGATCGACCGCGTGGAACGTCAGTGATTTTACCGAACTACTGTTGTAAACTCAGTTTCAGTGGTTTAAAATCATTCAGCTGTATTTTATCAGCCCTGAAAGACATATTTTATTTGGATGCTAGCTGTTTAGCGTTGTTTTATAAGCAGTGTCATGAGCGTGGTTTTTGTCTTCGGCGTTTCTAAGCATGATCGGTTGGGGGAATTTCTCTGATATAGGTCGCTCTGTGTGGCTTATTTATAATTTTTATGCTGATTTCGATCATACGTCGTGCCCATCCTACCAGGCCTTTTGCCACTTACACTCATTAAGAAAGGAAAAAACTAGATTTTCATTGGGACTAGGTGTTTTGAGGGTGTAACATATTCAGCGTTCCCATTTTTGGATACTTCTTGTGCTCGTCAACTCTCGGTGATTAGCAGACAGGTGCTTGACATGTCTCCACCCTCGGCGCGGACGGTGGATATAGGTATGGAAGACCTTGTTGAACATCGCTGAGCGTTGTGGATTACGTAATCCTGCAGAGGGGGGCGTGCCCGCTGCGAGATCGACGGGAATAAAAGCGCAGAAGACCGGGCGAAACATGCAACGGTCTTGCCGGAAAGGTCATCTGATGATTGTTGCGTTAACAATAATTTGCGGCGTTGGACGTGATGCTTGTTAATGAAAAGAGCCCCTGAAAGGCGTCGGTGAAATCGTTCCCAATTTTGGGTACGCCGTTCCCATAATAAGGAACGCTTGCAGCGCCAGTGTACGACAGCGTTCCCAAATTTGGGCTCGCGGCCCGGGTGATGGACTGCTTTAGAAATAGGGGAACGATTTGAAACTACGATGGGCCTTACAATATCAAACTCTTTCCCAACAATATTGAGACAACTATCAGGCGGTTCACGATCGTTTTATATTTTTTGGACGTCATTTAACAGTTCTTTTTCTTGTTTTAAATAATGCCTACATGGCGTTCCCATATTTGGGTTTATCGTTCCCAAACATGGGAACGAAAATGCGTTCCCGAAAATGGGTACGCTTGACCATAGTTCCGCCTACTGAGGTGAACCGTGACGATATTATAGCCTTTGTAATTGTTGCCGATGGGTAGCAAATAAGTGAAAGTCATAACAATATTGGCATTGTTGGCAGTGTTAACTTTTCATATAATACAAATAATGACAATGAACTGGGTAAAAAAAAAACTGGTAACAATAATCGAAATACCCAACACTGACACCAACAGGCAACAGCAAGTGATGAATAAACTCTCCAAATGTAACCTACTTTGCAGGTCCTTGGGAGTCCCGATTGGTATTTCCGAAGGCTACCTATATGTATTTCCGGTATTTCAATAAATATGATACCCACACAAATTGCCGGTAAATTGAAATTGCAAGGGGTAAATTGAAATTGAAGGTGTAAACAGCAAGTCACCATGCAATGGAAATGTAACACATGCGCAGCGTTAACTGTCATGAGGCCAATTTAGTTTTTTGTAAGATTTTGTTGAAAACGTTTTCTGATACAATTAACACTAATTTATTCATTAATTCATTGAGCGATTAAAAAGTTTTTAAAATAAAAAACAAATCATCAATCATATGATGTGTTAATATTCCTGGATAAGCCTCATTTGTCGACAATTCCTACGCAACTGAGCTTTTGATCAAGATTCCAACTTCTGTTCAAAAGGCAGACTGTACGGCAAATATCAGCAAATTGTCATAACAATTGACCTCTAAAAATGTATTCTTGTCATTCATTGGCTTAGATTATTTCATAGCCTGCTGTTTTCTTCATTCGCGAATGCATTTTACAATTTATTAGCAGTCGACCGTGCACCAAGTGCAGTCGCGTGCAGTGCCTTGCGCGCGGTGGTCTTGAACTGGGGCCACGTCAAACACATTTTTGGATTTGTAAAACTTTCGATTCAATTAATTACCTACCTATCCACCGGTGAACCGGGCGCAGGCAGGGTCGGGTGGTTACTGATTGATCCAGGGTGTCATTCACAACAAGCACCACTTAGCGAGGCACCCAGGCTAACAGCCGCTCAGTTATCCATTGGGACAAATTTTGTCATAATAGGCCGATGGCTCTCTAACCAGCCCTGCTGTCTCTCACACGGTAAAGCGGCGTCGCACCAGCTTCATAGCCCAGTGCAGTGTCACGTGGGGACTCGTGATGCCGCACGTAAAATCCTCACTAGTTCACTACACGAGTAAACGGCGTGCAGCTGAGGAGTTATTTTGTGTTTACATATGACAGTTACATGCTGGCATGTTTACCATTTCAGGGAGTCTTAACAATGGATGAAGATCTGTTTGCCGTTTTTGATAGTAAGCCATCTACCAAAGCAGATAATGCATCTAAAAAGGGGAAGACAAAACAAGAACCTACAGAAGAAGAGTAAGTTTTTCGCATTTAGTGTAGCATGCTCCAGTAGGCCTGGCAGGGTCATGTAAGCAATTGATTACTTATCTGACCTGACTTGAGGTGACCAAGTGAAGAATAAGCCTTAGTACCCTAGGGTTTGTTTTGATTGCAAAAATCTTTTCAGTTGACATAACTAGAACTTAGTTACATTAATTAGACTGCACAAACTTTGGGTGTTGCACAGTTAACAGTAAACACTTAACACTTTGCGGAGCTGACGTGCCCTATCAATGTCTCAGGGAGCCCTCGGTGGACGATCTGCTGCAGCAGCTCACCTCTGGAAAGAGGTCTGCCGAGGAGGCCAGTGGAGATGAAGAAGAAGAAACAAAGAAGTTCAAAGTGGAAGAGGAAGGAGGAGTGGATGATGCCAAGTGAGGCCACACTTTTGTGCAACATTTGACTTCTTGTGTACTTAGCCCAATCTCAGTACCTAATAATATTAAGGGGAGGTGATTTGCATCCTATTTCAAGCTAAGTTCAGTATTGTTCCTTTCAACATTCATATATTTTTGTGTTAGCTCTAAATCGGCCGTATCGGCTGTAACCTTTGTCTGAACATACGCTAGGCTAATGCAGATAAACTTTGCATCCTTTTAGAACTCATAGCACTAGCAGGGTACACGGTCCCGCATAGCACCGTATTTCTAACTCACCCCCTTTACCCCACCGTTCCAGACTGGCAGAGCAGATGCCGCGTATCCAGGTGCACACGATCGACACCATAGAATCGTGTGTGCACGAAGTGTGCGTGCCTCCTGACCAGGAGTACATACCACTGGTGGCGCCCACGCGCGACCCGCCCAAACAGTACCCGTTCGTGCTGGATCCCTTTCAGAAGGAAGCCGTTCTGTGCCTGGAGAGTAACCAGTCGGTACTGGTGTCGGCACATACCTCCGCCGGGAAAACGGTGGTGGCAGAGTGAGTGAAGGGCGGGTGGGATACGGGGGATGGATGTAGAGGGCTGACTGGGTAGCTGTTGATCTTGTGATGACTTGGAATGGTGACAGATTGTTGACAAAAGCTACAGCTCGATATGTTTTACGGGTGATGTTACAATATAACACGAGTGAAAAAAATGTGTTCAAATTTGTTTTGCGGTAATGCCGATTTTGTTCTCATAGGTTCCATTTTCATTACGTTTTCGTCATGATATCTACGCTAGGTTATATATTCAGTTTCCCTTTCATGTCCTTACGTATTCCCAAAGCCTGCTGTTGACCAACCTGTTCCCTCTCCTCCCGTTCAGGTACGCGATCGCTCTGTCTTTACGCGACAAACAGCGAGTGATCTACACGACTCCGATTAAGGCGCTGAGTAACCAGAAGTACCGCGAGTTCAGCGAAGAGTTCCAGGACGTGGGTCTGATGACGGGCGACGTCACCATCAACCCGTCGGCCTCCTGCCTCATCATGACCACGGAGGTGGGTGGGGGTCTCGGAGGTCGTTTTGCCGCGGTCTTTGTATTAAGCCGTCCGTCATTTAGTCAGTTCACTAGTTTTCTTGTATTCTTGAGCTTTCCTAAATCAGTTTGACTTTTTTGGCGCATTACTGACCACGCCACGTATAGTTTTCATTTGGAGAGGGGGGGTGGGTGGGAAGGTGGGGAGGTTTCGTGTTGCGCCGTGCCCTCTGAGTTGGTAATGTTACTGGAGCTAGTTTGAGTGCGAGCGATTTCTGTCACCGTCCCGTTTGATCGTCAAATTATGCGCTGTTAGTTGTTTGCCACGTCTCCTTTTATTTATGTCTAATCGTTTCTGACCGCCTCTCCGCGTCAGATTTGCGCAGCATGCTGTACCGCGGCTCGGAGGTGACATCTGTCTTCCCTCTGTGACTCTTCTGACTGTTTCTAACCGCTTCTCTCCGTCAGATCCTGCGCAGTATGCTGTACCGCGGCTCAGAGATGATATCTGAATGTTTGTTTCTGATCTTGCCTGGTTGGCCTGTTTCTTCCCGTCAGATTCTGCGCAGCATGCTGTACCGCGGCTCGGAGGTGATGCGCGAGGTGGCCTGGGTGGTGTTTGACGAGATCCACTACATGCGGGACAAGTCGCGCGGCTACGTCTGGGAGGAGACCATCATCCTGCTGCCCGACTCGGTGCACTACGTGTTCCTCTCGGCCACCATACCCAACGCCAGACAGGTGAGCACCAAGTGGAGATTGTGAGAAGAGCTGGCATGAACGCGAATGACGGTGTGAAATGATTGGCGTTGTTGGACATTGAAAAATTGGCCATAGCTGCGGCATCATATTATTGCTTGGACGTGATGTCAAGCAGACAAATGTGATGATTTTCGTCGTGAGTGACTGTATTCGATTATAGCATTTGCTTACGTGTTAGTATCAGATAAAATATTAAGTTTAATCACGCACTGAAACGTTGAAAACCTTGGGCGCCGATGGCCACCGCACTTCCGCGGGCGCCCTTAACCCTCATATCATCACTATCATGAAACATTAAAAATATTAATGAGATGGTTTCGTAATAATTTATACATTCAACATTTCATTTCACCAAAAATTTACTGGTGGAACAATCGTGTCATGTTTTTTCCTCATGCTCTCCGTAATGACGTGACCTCTGCTGTTGTCCCTAGTTCGCCGAGTGGATCACATACCTGCACAAGCAGCCGTGTCACGTGGTATACACCGACTACCGACCGACGCCGCTGCAGCACTACATCTACCCATCGGGCGGCGACGGAATTCACCTGGTGGTCGACGAACAGGTACGGGAGGGACGGAGCCAGGGGTGGACTCACGAGTGAAGGGATGGAGAGTCCGCTCTCAGGGATCGAGAGGCGTGCTGAGCTATGGATAGACTGGAGAGAGCCCTCTTCCCGTCCTGTCTTATGGTTATTGTCCGTGTTAGTGGGGCGGTGCGTTCCGACCTTGATGGTTGATTGAGTGGCCAGAGTTATTTTCCCTGAGCACATTTTACGATGTCTTTGAAATGATCTTTTGAGGAGACATGAAGCTACCATAGATATTTTGGATGGTAAAATCAGTGTATAATCTTGTTATGTAGGTACCTAGCATTAAATCATGATTGGAAATCGCAATGATTAACTTAATGACTCATGCATATACAAACTCCTGGGATCGCAACTATGTCTACGTGGAACTCCTTGGTAACACCTTCTTTTCTCCCTGCCTCAGGGTAATTTCCGCGAGGACAACTTTTCGGCGGCCATGGCCGGACTCGCGGCGCCTAGTGACGCTGCTCGCAAGAGCCGCGGTCCCGGCGGCAAGCCGGGCTCCAAGGAGGGCACCAACGTCTACAAGATCATCAAGATGGTGATGGAGCGGAACCTGGCACCCGTCATTGTCTTCAGCTTCAGCAAGAAGGAGTGCGAGGCGTACGCCCTGCAGATGGCCAAGCTGGATTTCAACACGGGTAAGCGAACGGAGGAAAGATTATTCTTCCGTGCTTTGATATACACACTGTCAAAGTCCAGCTACACCTGCGTCGCGTGCTAGGAGGCGTTTGAGAATCTCGGTTTATCGATGCTAGCAAGTGACTGTCTCGTATTTCCTCCATGTTCGCCTCCCCATCCTCCAATCCCGTCATCTTAGTTTGTGTCTCATTTGTGACAGCAACCTCTTCCTCTTCCTCTGTGCCCAGGTGACGAGAAGAAGCTGGTGGAGGAGGTGTTCAACAACGCCATGGACGTGCTGTCAGAGGAGGACCGCCAGCTGCCGCAGGTGGAGCACGTGCTGCCGCTGCTGCGGCGCGGCATCGGCATCCACCACGGCGGACTGCTGCCCATCCTGAAGGTAGGATCCCGGGCGCGTACTTCTACCCGTATTGAGGGTAGGATCCCGGGGAAAATGCCAACCCCACTACGGCGGACTGCTGCCCATCCTGAAGGTAGGATCCCGGGCGCGGTCTACTGCCCATCCTGAAGGTAGGATCATGGGAACAATACCAGCCCCACCACGGCAGATTGCTGCCTATTATAAAGGTAGATAGGACCCTGAGGCTGATCTAACCCTACCACGGCAGCCTGAGCTAACCATCCTGAAAGTGAGCATGTAAGTAAGATTCTCACCTCTCATCCATTACGGCGCCTGGCGGCCCCCGTTGTTCGCCGACAAAGTCGGGCTTATGTGGTCTATGGGGAATCCCTGTGCATTTTTGGTGTCAGGATCCACCACGAGCTGCACCACTGCAGCTGCTGACATGCCGCCCCATCCATTTCAGGAGACGATTGAGATTTTATTCGGCGAGGGTCTGATCAAGGCGCTGTTTGCCACGGAGACGTTCGCCATGGGCCTCAACATGCCGGCGCGCACGGTCCTCTTCACCGGCTGCCGGAAGTTCGACGGCAAGGACGTCCGCTGGGTGAGTGCCTGTCTGTTTTAAAGGGTGGAGGAAGATGATCTTATGCAGCCCCGCTAATGCGGACGGGGTGGTTGGTGGAATGTGCAGGGCACTGTCTCTCCATATTATCTACGAGTATGTTGGCGCTGGCAAAAAAAATTGTTTTGCGCTGTTCGTTAACTGCTTTGTGTCTAGTTCGTTCTGATGAGTATGCACTGCAGATAGGTTCCGTTATTCTTTATGATCGTTCTGTTCTGTGTGCCTGCGTATCGCCGTCCCCGTGCTCTGACCATCTCACTATCCGCCCGCCTCTAGCTGTCCTCGGGCGAGTACATTCAGATGTCGGGCCGCGCTGGACGACGTGGTAAGGACGACAAGGGTATCGTCATCCTGATGGTGGACGAGAACATGTCGCCGGCCGTGGGCAAGAACCTGGTGAAGGGCCAGGCGGACCCGCTCAACTCGGCCTTCCACCTCACCTACAACATGGTGAGTAGCAGTGGCGGAGGGGCGGGTGGTGGTGAACGGAATAGGTTAAGGTTGCGTTGGGCTGAGCATTTTTGTCATCTTACAGTTTTTAGTTTGGACCCTGCCATTGCGTCTGCCGTTGCGTTGCTAACATGACGTGACCATCGCATCACATGACTTGGCAGTTGCCTGAAGCTGAGAGCTGATATTGAGATTTTGTAGATAATAATTTGGTGGTCTCAAAATTTAGGTGCCGCTCTGTGGACCCAAACTTCGCAGAATTCACTACACAAAGTGACAAAACACGAGTATCGCAGCCATTGTCTGACCCTACGTGCTCCCCCTCTCTCGCCCACCTTCAGGTGCTGAACCTGCTGCGAGTGGAAGAGATCAACCCGGAGTACATGCTGGAGCGCTCCTTCTTCCAGTTCCAGAACTACGCCGCCATACCGGGACTCTGTGACCGTGAGTGGGCACGAGGGTAGCGCGGCTGGGACGAGTCAGACAGTCATTATCCCCATTCCGAATCGTGCAAATGAAATGTGTAGATTCAGACACGAATGGCATTGATTTTTCAGTGGATTTGTATTGTGGTGCATGTAGCTGTTTGTTGCAAAGATGCCATCCAATTTGCCCACACGAACCGTCTGTGACCTTTCGAGCTACCCTCCTCGATCCAACCCACCGTCCCCCATCAACCTCACCTACCCGGTCAGCTAACCACACCGCCCTTTCCCTCCAGGCGTGAAGAAGGCCCGCTTCAGTCACGACAGTATGACCATAGAGAGAGAGCCGGAGGTCGCGGCCTACTGGAAACTGCGCCAGCAGCTGGACATGCTGAAGAAGGACTTCCAGAAGTACATCACGCTGCCCAAGTATATCGTACCCTTCCTGAACCCCGGCCGAGTGGTACACGTAAGTGTGAAAGGTCGGGGAGGTTAGGGTGGCGGCCGCGGGCAGAGGAGAAATGTGTTGAAAGGGCTGAGGTTGAAAGGGCTGAGTGGACTGGGATACGGCTGGTTGAGCTGAAGCTTCTGTGGGATTAGTGTCGTTTCTGTGGAATATGATGATAACAACCAATTCGCACTGATTTTTCCTTGTTTTCATTCGTTCAGAAGCCGTATCAATATGTCCGCTTTTTTACTGTGAATATGAGCATCAAATAATTCCGCCTCAGCTCACCTTAGCCCGGCGCCTGTCCCCGTCACAATCGCCATCTTCCCGACAGGTTCAAACCGACGACAAGGACTTTGGCTGGTGTATCGTCATCAACTACAAGAAGGAGGACCAGAAGAAGACGGACAACCCGCTGGAGGGCGGCTCCACGTACGTGGTCGACGTGCTGATGCACGTGTCCAAGGAGACGGCACAGCTGAAGGAGACCGCGCTGCTCGAGCCGCCACGTGAGTGTCGCCAGTGATGCCGTGGGGAAAGGGGAAGGGATGGGAGCAATTCGTGGGTTTGGAGTTGAGAGAGATCATTTGGGTGGTGCGCCGGGTCCTTTTTTCAAGGGAATTTAAACTCGTTTGTTTTATGCGGGATAATGGCAGTCTGCATTGAAGAGTATGAGAAGTTTGAGCCGATGCTAGCTGATCCGTACAACATAATTTGTATCGATCTTCTGGGGATTGTATAGCATCTCTTTCGTTCGTGTCTACAGGAATGCTAAGTCTCCCGGGTGATACGGCAGAACGAACATTACACGCTTCTGACCGCTGAGCGGACCTGATCAGCTGGCCTGATTTACACTCCCGCCGCTCTGACCTGACCTCCCTCCCGTCTCTCTCCACCGCAGCGGCCGACCAGAAGGGCGAGATGGTGGTGGTACCGGTGCTCGTCCACCTGATCCACGAGATCAGCGCCGTCCGACTCAAATATCCGCAGGACCTCAGGCCGCTCGACAACCGCATGATCGTGCTCAAGACCATCAAGGTAAGCTGATAGACTCGCTGTGGTAGATAGAGTTGCTGGAGTCAATGATTGATGAGATTGCATCGATGGCTTGTAGATACCGTACGTGCTCTGTGCTCGTTTAATGCGTGTGCACGGTTTTGGGGGGCGGGGAGGGTGATTTAGAGCGGAGCGATGTAAGCTGCGTTATTCGTGAAGATGAATTGAGCTGTCCCTTTATTCGCGGTGCTACGCGTGGCGACTGGAGACTGGAGCGACCAGCGTAGCCCCCAGTGTCACATCCTGGATTACGACCCGCTCCAATGTCTCCCTCCGAGTCCCTCCGTGTCCTTTTCCCTCCCCACATCTACCGTTGCTTGTTTCTCTTTTCACCCCTCCCCTCTCACCCATCAGGAGATGAAGCGCCGCTTCCCGACCGGCATCCCTCGCCTGGACGCCGTCAAAGACATGGGCATTAAGGACCGCGAGTTTGTATCGCTGGTGGACAAGATCGAGTCGTTCGAGCGCCGGCTGTTCTCCCATCCACTGCACGACGATCCGCGGCTGGACGAGCTCTACAACCAGTATGTCGAGAAAATGGAGGTGAGTGGATCAATGAGGATGGATTGAGAAAGGTGAAATAAGTAAAATATAAGCAGAAGAGCAGGTTGGTGATATATAAGCAGGAGCTTCAGGTTGAAAAACACTGGCCGAAGGTTCTATTCAGTCAAATTGAACCAATCAAGGTTTGCAATCGTGATATACACATGGCTGAGGAAGTGATTGGTACCTATTTGTTTTGCTATGGCTCGTTTACAAATGCAGTTACAGTTGTAGATCGTTGTGTTGTTTTGATTTATAATCTTTGTCCATCATCGCCCACCCACTGACGAGCTCCCGCCTCTCCTCCCCCCAGCTGAGTAACGAGCTGAAGGCGGCCAAGCTGGAGCTGCGCCGCGCCAAGTCCCTACTGCAGATGGACGAGCTAAAGTGTCGGAAGCGCGTGCTGCGCCGGCTCGGCTACTGCACTGCCGCAGGCGTTATCGAGGTCAAGGGCCGCGTGGCGTGCGAACTGAGCAGGTCAGTGGGCGATGAGAACTAGCTGGAGGGACTTGGGCAGCCGAAAGCAAGGCCGAAAGCCTCGTCAATAATAATATGGTAGGATGTGGGACGATTAGTCTGATCGGACAGCAGCCTTCTTTGCCAAGGCTGATCGAAATTTATGAGCATGGCCGACTGTGGTCACGCTTCTGTGAGGCTCGTATCTCAGCAACCACTGGACTTATTGTCCTGTATCCAATAAGTCCTGTATTATGCTACCATCCACCTCCAAGCGACATTTCAAGCTCATTCTTACTTCATTTACAGTGCCGACGAGCTGCTGATCACGGAGATGATCTTCAACGGCATGTTCAACGACCTGTCGGTGCCGCAGTCGGTAGCGCTCATGTCCTGCTTCACGTTCGACGAAAAGTCCAACGACGCGCCCAAGCTACAGGACCAGCTGTCAGGCGCGCTGCGACAGATGCAGGTATGTTAGATCACTGTGACTGGCATCTCAAAGGGATTGCCTGATATCCGCGTTAGTGGCTTGTGTTTCAACGCATGCTCTCTTTGGTTAATACCACTTACTTCGGTATGCCCGCTCCTAGTATGCGGCGGCAGTAGCGATGTATCTCATGCTATGATATTCCCAGCACAAGAGAAGCTACAGCAATGTTTCCGTAAAGTGTTTGTCCGAAATAATAGGACCGCTCGACTACCAGACAGGGATGTTCTGGCACACAGTTATAAACTGTGAAATGAGCTCCATTAGAGGGTAGTAATATCTCTCACTCATGTACCATTTGCCACAGGAGCTGGCGCGTCGGATAGCGCGGGTGAGCGTGGACTCCAAGCTGGAACTGGACGAAGAGAGCTACGTGGGCCAGTTCAAGCCGGCCATGATGGACGTGGTCAACGCCTGGTGTCAGGGATCCAGCTTCGCAGAACTCTGCAAGATGACAGACGCGTTCGAAGGTATTTGGGGAGGACTGGCCGCTGGTGATGGCGCTGTTTGCATGCTTTTGCTTATTGGGACTTAATAGGGCATGCCAAAGCCACTGCAGTGGTCATTTGGCGATGACCGCCAAATGGCCGTGACGTTCGGGGAAGTATGAGGCTGCTTGGGCGATTTATGTTTGGGTACTGTTATGATATTGAAGCTGGATTGGGGAAAACAGTTTCAAGCTACCTTTAGTGTCCTCTCGATAAAAAGGCCAATTTCATGTTATGATTTGGTAGACGGGCCGGACAACCACCTACTCACATATCACCGATAAAATGGCAGGCTATATCGTTGCAACTTGCAACTGCCCCCTGATCTGCCTGGGTGGTTCATCAGTCAGCCAGATACTTTGAAAATGATCTGAATCAGCGAGGCGCGGAACGTCTGTCCCGTTTCATAACAGCGTTTGTTCAGCTAAACCTCGGTCGCCTCACTGCGCCTCTTGCACTTGTTCACTCTTCCCCTTTCCGTTTTTTTCAGGCAGCATCATCCGCTGCATGCGTCGCCTGGAGGAGCTGCTTCGTCAGATGGTACAGGCCGCTAAGGGCATCGGCAACACAGATCTCGAGAACAAGTTCAGCGAGGGCATTCGACTGATGAAGAGGGACATCGTGTTTGCCGCCAGCCTCTACCTGTAGTTGGCCTTGTGGTTGAGGATGGAGAAGGATAAGGCGAGTCGGGACTGACGTGAGCTGAGAGGCAGTGCGTTCTAAAGCGTGTTTGACGACGGTGACCGTTTTGTACCTGTGGACGTTTGACTGTTGAGAGCGACGGGATGTGTGTGGTGTTGAGTCCGACTCTGCCATGAAGATGTGCACTGTACAGCGTTCACTGCAGATTGCAGACTGCGGGTTGCGAGTGTGGGTGCCCGCATCTGACCGCGACCCACTGTTAGGTGTCTGCGTCTGAGGGCGGTTCAACAGCTGCCCGGTGTTTGCCTCTGGCCGCGGCTGGGGCAGAAAAACCAGCGACCTGAGCAACGGTGCGCTGTGCCTGTTTGATTCGTGCTCATCTGTTCTTGTGAGGGGCGCCGTGGCCGGAACAGAATATAAATCCATTATCATCCGTTATGGCAGTGAATGGTTTTTGGTGGCGTTAGAGGAGACAGAGACCTGCGGAGACTTGCTATCAAGAGGTGAGATTGCGTGATTTGTGGGGATTTGATATCGAAGAACGCAATGGTTGCTGAAACGTCGACCGTTACGACGGAAGATGGAACAGATCGGTCACCAACAACAGCGAATAACCGTGGTAGCCCGTGTGTTTGTTTGTTTGTTTGTTTGTTTGTTTTGTTGGGTTAGGCCCTTTCGGTCTGACGAGACCATTTCAGAGCCGGAAGGATAATAGGATATAGGGGGAGACATTGGTCTGGGCAGGCACCCTAGTGAGTCGCCGGGGCACAGTGATGCAAATGGGGTTCACGAGTGGCCAAAAATACGAAAAAGGCCCAAAATTCAAGTTCACTTAATCGAATAAATCGTAATATGGTCAGTCAGGCAAATGTTTGGGGTGTCTGAAAAAGTATGATTTTAATGTTTTTGTAAAAACCGGCCTCGTGTATGATTGTCAGAAGTCGAGACATTTTCGATGTCGTAAAATGACTGTCAGGTACAGTCTGTCTTAAAAGTACCGCGCAAAGTGACGGTGGATCCATCATGCCTGACCGAGGAAGGGCCTACTAAATTTGAGTCACCGAAGCAATTGACATCCTCGTCCATTCCCTAGGTCAATTGGTTCGGTGACTTTCAAATTATAGCAGGCCCTACCTCAGTCAGGCTTGATGGATCCACCGTCACTTTGCGCGGTACTTTTAAGACAGACTGTACTTGAAATTCAAGTGCCGCTGGCGTGCGTTCATGTCATACCAACTGCAAAAAGTATACATGAAAATGATCTTCGAAACCTGCTGCTTCTAATGCCACGTCATAAAAAGCCGTATCTATTTTGGTTTGGCGGTGAGCTAACTATTTGTAATCATGTTGCAACCGCAGTTTTTTACCAAAAATATTTGCTTTCAATTCACCTACAGCACTTCACACAGTGTGTGCCCGTTAGTGCACCATATCATAGCATTCCCTAATCATTTCTGAGTCGCATAGTGAAAGAATTAAGGCGCTTGCACAGGGCTGACCGGCGCTACAGAAGTTTTCGTCCGGCACGGTCGGGTGCCGCGGCGCAGCGGGCGGCCCGGACGGCCGCGCCGCCGCGCCGCCCGGACGCCGCGCGGCGGCACCCACCTGCCCACCGCGCGCCCACTGCGGCACCCGCCCGCCCGGACAAAACCCTCTGTAGCGCAGGTCAGCCCTGTGCTAGCACCTTATTTCTTTCACGATGCGACTCAGAAATGATTAGGGAAGGCTATGGTATGGTGGACTAACGGGCACACACTGTGTAAAGTGCTGTAGGTGAAACGAAAACATTTTTTTTTTTCTTAGTAAAAAACTGCGATTGCAACATGATGATAAATAGTCAGATTACCGCCAAAGCGAATGAGATACGGCTTTTTGTGACCCGGCATTAGAAGCAGAAGACTTTGGGGATCATTCCCATGCATATTTTTTCAATTTGTACGAAATGAACGCAAACCAGCGGCGTTTGAACTTGCGAGTGTCTGACAGTCATTTTACGACATAGAAAATGTCACGACTTCTGACGATTATACACGAGGCCGGTTTTGACAAAAACATGAAAACCATGTCATTTCAGATGCCCCAAACATTCGTCTACTCGGCCATATCGCAATTAACTCGATTTGGTAAACTTGACTTTTGGGTATTTATGGCCACTCGTGACCCCTATTTGCATCACTGTGCGGGGCTGAGCCCGTCAGGACAGGCCACCCAGCCCCAAGGTACTCACTGCACTCGGCTACGGGGTGCGCTCCCTTGGGCCTTGGGGGCAGCGGTGCCGCTCTAAGGGAGCAGCCCGCGTGAGATAAAGTTGCCTGTCCAGTCCGGAGGGGTTGCGGCGTGGAGGAGAAGGATTTCCGTATCCTGAGGATAGAAGCGCGGAACGGTGGTGGTAGCCCGCTTGATGTTCGACTTATATGTGAGGCGTGAGCTGGGACCAATCTTAGTTGTATGTTAGGGCCTTCAGCCTTGGCTGTATGTTTTGGTGCAGTCAAGATTACTTTACTACTCGGTGCAGTAATGCTAGGAATACCAAGCAGCAAAGCTTGGGTATGAAAAGTTGCATCTCTACTTGGCAGCTTCTACCAAGTTTATACTAGCCATATGCTAGCCCTTCTATCAAAATGATATTTTTTACAAATCGTAACCCATTCTTTACCCCTCTTTTATTTAATTTCAAACAAAATAGAAAATTAAAAAAAAAAACAAAAAAAAAAGTACCTTTCAATTTGAAATATTCAAAAGTTTTTGAAAACAAAATCTCAACTAAATTATACTAGAAAATGGTAGATCGCTTTTATCGACGCCATTTTCTTCCTCTCGTTTGCGGCGTTGCTCGGTGGTGGAGGCGGGTGAAGCCGGTGATCGTTAATATTGATATTTGGTGTTTTATTTACTTATTGCCTATTTATCTGTGTAATAATGGCTGACACGGACGTTCAGATGCCGCAAGAGAATGCTAACGGAGATCATGGAGGTTCCCCAGCTCGTGGACGCGGCCGGGGACGAGGTCGCGGCCGTGGTGAATTTAGGGGAGGACGTGGAGGAGGCGGTGAATTTAGGGGAGGCCGCGGAGGAGGCGGTGATTTCAGGGGAGGACGCGGAGGAGGTGGTGATTTCAGGGGAGGCCGTGGAGGCGGAGACTTCCGCGGCGGACGCGGTGGCGGCGAGCACCGTGGAGGACGTGGTGGAGGCGGAGAGTTCAGAGGACGAGGAGGATTCCGTGGTGGCCGTGGAGGTGGCCCCAGGAACCCTGAGGTGAGTATAATGTTGCTATTAAAGTGTGCATGTGATTCAGATTGGCCATCTGGTATTGAATTGCAATTTACTGTTACAACAGTTCAAGTTGGTGTCATTTTGATACCGCCACAGGCTGTCGTCTTTCAGTTCTCATCAATTTACTGGCTGCAGTGCAAAGCTCATTTTGTGCATTGAGATGATCGTGCAGGCCGCAGGGCTAAGGGCTGGCTGGTGAACACTGCAAGGGATAACTATTAGCAATGAGCAAACTTTTGTATTTCCATGCTTTGTTTGGTTTTGGTTGTACCTGAGTTAAACAGGTGAGTTGGTGCATGCTGGTGTCTGTCCAATTGAGCTGGTGCTAGATGGTGTAGAGTAACTCCTATGGCTGTCGCTGCACCTTCACTTCTGTGATACTTTGCGATCTGGCAAGTCTTAAGTAGGTAGTGGCTCTTCCTTACACCAATAACAATCAGGATCAAAACTGCTCTAGAACAGCTCTCCCCCTCCCCTAAAAAGTGCAGATGTGTAGTTCCATGTGCCCATACATCATTAGCAACACCAGAGTTTTAGTGCTTATTTATAAAGTCTGAGACATGATGTGATGCAGCTTTTATGATCTGTTAAAAAAAAACTATCATTCATTAACCTCATAGGCTGGTATCCATTATAAGTCACAAAAGTGTGGCTATATTAAAAACTGGACATAAAGCTTTCACTCCAATAAGCTTTAATTATGTTGCCTTTCTTGCAAGTTGCTGATCAGCTAGGTATCTGTTGCTCAATTAGGTACATCATAATTCTGGGAGTCTGATAAATGATTGCTCTGGTTACAGGAGTTGATGCAAATATAAAGGTACTGTATTATAGAAAGCCTTTGCAAACGCGTTTAGAACATATCTTCGTCAGTGCTAGCTTCCAATAATACAAAATCAAAAAGACTCTTATAATCTTAAATCTGACTTATCTGGTATTGATAAAGGCATAATCATCAAATCAACAGCAGGAAAAATATTGGCAGTTTTCATTTACCCATGCTTCTGCCAAGGTTTACTTATTATTATTTCTTGAACTTTTGAACCAGCTCTTATGATAAAATTTATGGAAAATGATTTGGGAATGTTTTGCAGAGGCTGTACCTAAAAATGATGAATTTTGAAATTGCTTCACTGTTGATATTTGAAACTGCAATAAAAAAATGATTTTTTTTTTTTTTTACGGTGGTTTGAAAGATATTTTCCATATCATGGAAAAGATAACATTTTCTTATTCATAATTCAATTTTTACCAAATTTGTATCCATTTGTCAGAATTGGTCAGAACCAAATAAGTCAGAACCTTTTTAGTGGAAGGATTCACAAGGACAGAGCCCCTGCTAAGCAGAGGCCAGCTTGTTGTGTTGGCCCTACCTTCTACCTACTGATCGCAAAATTCCTAGTCTATGGCAGAATTTAGAGTTTGAACATAGCCTGTATGCACAATAACTGATGATTCGCACTCACATAGCCACGTAGGTATGGCCGGCCCCCTCACAGGTTGTGGCTTGCCACAAACTCTCACAGGTTGTGGCTTGCCACAAACTGCAACCATACCTGCCCAGAATGTTTTAAACAATGAGCGGCCGTCGCGCCTCGAACCTCGGACTTTTGCAACTGGTACGTTCGCTCTCACCACACGGAGTCCAAATCTCTACCGACGAGTTACGGGACCGGCGATCAATATTTACCCGAAATTAAAGATTTGTTCTCATTTTGTTGACAACAACATCAAACATGTCAATTTATTTATCAGAATATCTGGAACAGACATCCCTTGGAGTAATGTGTACCTTCCAAGTTCCAATGCTAACCTTTCCTCGGCTATCCCCAAACATTTCAGTTGTGTTCTAACACAAAGCCCTGCATGATAGTGATATTGTTGAAAGAAAAAAAAAAGATTCAAGAGCTTTGCTCCTATCTGCCCTTATGTCTGAACTATAACAACCAAAATGAAAAGGCCCAATCGCTGCACTGCACGGGGGGCAGTGTCAACTAGAGTCAAACCAGTTGAAACCACGGACAAAATCCATCCAATTTTTTTGTTTAGCATCTGGTTTGATGTTGGGCCGGCCCGTTTCAGGAGCGTATGATGGAGAAGCTGCAGGCCATCGCCGGTCCGACGTATGACCTGCCTGTGGCCGAGAAGGAGAAGAAGAAGTTCACCAACAAGTGCCGCCTGTTCGTCGGCAACCTGACCGACGACACCACCATGGACGAGTTCCAGGAGATGTTCAAGGTCTTCGGAGAGATCGCCGAGCCGTACCTGAACCTGGAGAAGGCGTTCGGATTCGTCAAGCTGGTAAGAGGATCAGGCAAAACATGGTTACTGATGTTCATTGGGTTTCCGGATTCCATCAGTAGCACGGTCGGGTAAACTCCGTTGTAGTAACTAGTATCGTTATCAGTAGTGTATCGTTATCAGCACTCGTAAATTTGATTGTTTGACTATTCAACATTGATCGTGAATGGTGCGTTGGGGTGCATTGTAACCGTCAGCCTGCAATGCCCTGAGTCCCGGTCTCCTCTTCACAGGACTACCGTGAGAACGCGGAGAAGGCGCGCCAGGCCCTGAACGGCACCATGCGTAACGGCCGGCTGCTCAAGGTGCGCTTCTCCTCGATGGGCAGCAGCCTCAAGGTGAAGCGGCTCTCGCCCTGGGTCAGCAACGAGCTGCTCGAGCTGGCCTTCTCCGTGTTCGGCGAGGTGAGTGGCGACTACTGAGCGTGCGGCTATGGGGTAACGTGACGGAGAAGATATTACTGAGGTTTTAGTAGTAACATGCCTTGGGTTTTTTGTGGTGATGTGGTCTTTTGAAATAATCTCCCCAGCTGGTTCCTTGGTGATTGGACATTGGACAATTATATTCTGTCTGAGATCTAAGGTGACCTTTTCTTATTTGTTTCATGGTTTCTAGTACCATGCAGTCACTGCAGCTCACTTCTATGAAAGGTTCTCAAGATGCTCCCACTTTACATGTATGTTGCTCAGTTATTTAATCTGTGTTTGATTGCAGCTGGAGCGAGCCACTGTTATCGTGGACGAGCGCGGAAAATCCACCGGCGAGGGAATCATCGAGTTCGCCAAGAAGCCTTGCGCTCAGGCGTGCCTCAGCAAGTGCACAGAAAACAGCTTCTTCATCACAGAGTGAGTGCAATCGGGACACACTGTTTCTGTGTATCCTTCTGGAGACTTTCCAGCTTTCATTGTTGCTGAGAATATTTCACTCTACCTGTATTTATCGCCTTTTTTCACCACGGCTGTGCGAACTCAACTTGTATGCAATTTTGTGTGATGGTTTGTTGAAAAAAAAGGAAATTCGTATTCATTGACGATGTGTTGCTGGTTACAGCTGTGTGTTTCGTCAATGTGGAGACTTCTAATCATTGGCATTATGGCTCGTTTCAGGAGTTTGTGCCCTATCGAAGTGGAGACTCTGAAGGAAGAGGAGGAGGAGGAGGGACTCAGTGAGAAAGTCCTGCCCAAGAAGTACCACGACTACCGGCGCGAGCGCTCTGTGGGCCCGCGGTTCGGGCAGGAGGGCTCGTTCGAGGCAGAGTACGGCGCTCGCTGGAAGCAGCTGTACGAGATGGAGAAGCAGCGCCGCGAACAGCTCGACCAGGAGATCAAACTGGAGATGGAGAAGCTGCGCGACCAGATGGAGTTTGCGCGCCGCCAGCACGAGACGGAGATCCTGCGCGAGCAGCTGCGCCGCAGGGAGATGGAGCAGGAGCGCACCAAGAGTGACTGGGACGCGCGCCAGGCGCAGCGCGAGCAGGAGCGTCGCCGTATGGAGGAGGAGATGCAGCGCCGCCAGGAGTCGATGCAGGCGCGCATGCGCCAGTCCGAGGACGACCTGAAGCGCCGCCAGCAGGAGAACAAACTTTTCATGCAGGTGAGTTCTGCTGCAGCTTTCAGCTGAGATATGTGTAATAACGCTGCTTACAACTGGCCATTTACGTTTTCCCCTAGATCAGTGTCGTCCAGTTGAAAGCCCATTGCGCAAATTCTCTGAGTTTTCACACTGTGACCGCGTATTTGCTGTGTTGCAGGCGAACGAGCTGAACAGTCTGCTAGACCAGTCGGAGCAGGCCATGTGGGGCGACCAGCGCGCACCACCGGCCGCCGGCGGTGACCAGGTGCCGCCCGCCGCCGGCGGCTACGGCCAGGCGCCGCCCGGCTGGGGCACCCCGCCCGCCGGAGCGCCCGGAGGCTTCGACGCGCACGGTACGGCTATTCAGAGTGCTGTCTAATGATGTGTGGTGGGCGGCTGTTCATTTGTAACCCTAGCGATTGGTTTTTAATGGTTGTTCAGAAAATACGTTCATCCCGTACTACTAATTCAGTTTGTCTGGGGTCAGCCAACAAGGTCTTTGCTGCCTCTGGCTCGATTCTCTGTTTTGACTACTGCTGCGAGTCGTGTTTCAGTCTGCGATCCTGTGCCGTGTACAGGATCTCTATGTTGTACCGCGTGTGCAGCTGACGTGTGCCATGTTTCAGTCCGAGGTTAGTCTTACCACGAATGCTTGTGTCTGGTGTCGCAGCTGCTGACCTGTGCCGTGTTTCAGGTGGCGGTCTCGGTCGCGGCGGAGGTCGCGGAGGCGGTCAGGTAGGTGTCCAACCCAGACCAAACGGCACTGGCCGCACTTCGGCCGTGCCACCCACACACCCAAACAAACCGTCAGCTCTTACAAGCTTTGACTGAGGCAAATTATATCAGTAGGTTTGCCTTTTTGGGGTCCTTACTGAAAAGCATTTTGATGCAGCTCCCCGGAACTGTACGCAAAATATCCGTAATGAGCTCATAAACCAATATTTGTTTTCCACTTTTGGAGCGTCCTTGACACTCCAGAGGGATGGGAGTCAATTGTTTACCAGGGTGTACTCTTACCGGTTTCATTTTCGTCTCCTTGTGATGGAGAGCAACAGTGCATGAAACTGGGCGGGGCTTCGATATGTCGGATGCAGAGCTTGTCAAGGACACCCGTTGTTTTCATAGCGCTGGTACCCAGCAGTTGTGTCAATAATTATTATTCGCCAGCGAGAATGATAGTTCCTTGGAGCTCCTTTATATTATGGAAAAGCAATCCATCTGAAACCTAAAGAGCTGAATGGACATTGAGCGAGACGCTGGATGCAAGCCGGTTCAGATCACCCTTTGCGGTGATGGCCAAACGTATGACTTCAACGTTTAGGGGACGCAAATAAGCTTATTCACGACATGGAACCATATGAATGCTTTTCAATGGTGATGAACTATATGCTCCCTGAAAAGTTGATGGTGCTTTGGGATGTCATTTACTCCGAGAAATGAAATGACTATCAGGAACGCGGTTGTCGATGGGTGTACAGACGTCCATGGTTGCGAAGAAAACGAAGCTCGATATGAATCGTGCATAATTTACCTTATTATCTACGCATTTTGCCAAATCCGTGCAGCCACCGTATGGAATTGTCAAATACTCCAACACGTCCACCGCTCGAGATGATGTTGCTGTTTTAGTTTACACTCTTGTACACCGATCCCAATCAACAGTAATCAAATCACATCTTAGGTGTAATTTTGGATGATATCGGATTTGAGCTTTTGGGAGTAATTAACAGGCACTTCGTAGGGGTCCAAAATGAATTAGCAACCCTGCTTCATCTGGTAGTGATTCTTATTCGTTTCGGGCTACACTGAGGTTATTTTTTATCCTTAAAATAGTTGACAGCTAATAAATGAGCTTCAAATGTGTTCGGTCCCAAAATGAGCGACAATGTTTAGCATCGTAGATTGGCCTTTAGCTATGGCTGCACGGATTTGACTGATGCACGAAACTTTTCAGATCGGATGTGGTTGAAAGCGCCTATCTTATGAAAACAAAGCATTACACATAACTACTTACATGAAGGTCTTTTCATTGATAAGCTTCGTCCATGTAACAAACGTGGACTTGATTCCTAAGAATCTGGGCTGGAAATGACCAATTGATACCCCCTGACTGAGGTCTGGTGAAACTATTTTATGGACCCGATGGGCGTATTTATCGAGATTCATTGGCGATGATTATTGATACGAGGGTTGATCAACATTGAAATGACTGGAAATGCACAACTGTGGAACTATGTCTCCACTTGCGACGACCATTATAATGGTGGTGTTATGAGGAAAATGCCGTGTAATTGTCTGACACGATGTGACTGATCAGATAAGCACAAAGTGAAAATAACCTCTACCATGATTGACGATGATGTGGAAGTGGTGAGAAAAGGTAGAGAACGTATGCGCTACATTCCGTGCTTAGTGAAGAAAGAAAGATAACCTAACATTTGTTTACATCCTTGCATCGCTCGTACATGGAAATGAAGGAAAAACAAGGCCCATGTTCTAATGAAGTCTTTACATGTCCGTCCTCCACTTGACTAAAGAACTCAAAGCATTGACATTAACCCGGTCCAATGGAACTATACTTCTCGCTGTAGGGTGTCCTTTGCAAGCTCTGAACAATTTATATATCTTAGTGATGTTGTTTAATGACATTCATTTATTTGAATGTATGCTATGGTATTGAATCGTACATTGTATGTTATTACGTCATAGTATTTGTATAATCTGACTGAACATTTATGTTGCAGTGCTCTGCTCAGCTGATAACAGTGTTATATGACGCTCCAGAAACAGAACAGACTTATGATAACATTTTCTTAAGGGCTATTTGTATGCCCATCTTCAAATGGTTTAGCTGTAGATTGAGAACTTCAGTCGCCATTATATTTCTCGGGGCTCAACAAAGTATAATCCAAAGGGGAAATGACACAGGCGGGTTTAATGACAACCAGCATGTCAGACATTTGAAATCACGCTCTTCAATGAGCTCTTGCGCCCTGAATCTCAAATCAGCCATGCTTAACCCGCGAGTTGCTGGGGGGGGGGGGGGCGTTAAACGCCCCCACTTTTTTCGCCGGGCCATAGCATAAAAACGGCGCGCCGCAGGCGCGCCAAATTTTGGGTACTTGTAGGGAATTAATTGAAGTTTATTGTGACAAAGTTTCAAAAAAATCGGTCAGAAAATTTTGAGATATCGAGGTTTTAGTGACGTCATGATTTCTGAGTTTTCGACCAAAAACGGCATATGTTCAAAAAATCATATAAAATCACAGAATAGACATACAGACATGCCGTAAACGCCATTAGACTGCCAATACCATGAACAATCAAATGGATATCTTCGATTGTTGATTGTCGTTCCGAATTTTCCAAAATCTTGAACTGAATCTTGGCAATTTCCCGTGACTACTTCACGACCATGATACATGCATTTCTTAAATTGAACTTTTTTAGCCAAACACGTACACATATGGTTAAATGAATGTCACCATCGTGTTCTACGCCCCAAATTACCCATAAAACATGTGTCACAGGATGCGAATATCAGTTTTGATTTTCGGGGATATGTGCCTGCCCGGTTGACCTGACCTTGACCCTGACCTATGCTTGACTGACCCCTATATGGAGCTGACACTCTTGTAGGCCTTATATGATGGATTGCGCACCGTTTTGACAGAGTTTATGACGAGAGGCGCCCATTGCGAAGTCCTGAAGTCCATGCTACTGAAAGCCCGATTTCAGGTGTTTGACCTGACCTTGACCTGACCTGTGACCTCAAAATTCAACTTTAAAGTACTCATCTGAAGCGTCTCGTCGCGTTCTTTCGTTTGCCGCCTCGTGCGTTTCGCTGCGTCTATTGGTTCTCGAGTTATCGGCTGGGGGCGTTTAACGCCCCCCCCCCCCCCCCCCAGCAAACGGTGGGTGGCGAAATACCCCAGCAACTGCCGGGTTAATGGCAAAAGGTTTCTTAAGCGTCTTATCTGGATCGAATGGGAAGAGTTCCTTACCTTGGCTGCTATTATCACGTATCAGGATTATACTCAATACCTACTGGATGCAGCGTAAAACATTACGATGCTCCTGGTTTTTCTTCACATTGTTATACCTGCCAATCTCCTTTCCATTCCACCGTTTTGATTGGGTATTCTGTGCATCATTTTTGTCTCCGTTTCTTCCTTTTTTCATTGTTGTTGTTATTTCTTTTGGCTTCCTCTCGAGTGAGAGTCCACACCGAATGTCATGCATCGCTGGGTTTAGAGGCTAAGTGATCATATTTATAGTAGCCATTTTATGTACTTTACTGGGGAGTTACGGTTGCATACTGCTCGATTTTTCAGAATTTTGGGTGGGAAATCACCTAATAAGGAAAATATTCAATATTTTCATACCGAAAATCAGGAAAAGTGGTATTATTTCATCTGTGAAAAATGTTTCATGCATTCGAACAGCAAGGTTGCATTGATGCATCCACATCCTTTTCTCTCAGCTTCTGTCAAGATCCTAATATCCGGCTTTATCCTGTCCTATCAAGATCTTGCTTAATTAATTGGCCTAAAAAATGGCGCTACGCCCTTTTTCGAAATACTTCAGGTATATTTTTACTTCCTTTTTTCTCATCCTAGTATTTTTCTGCTTTAGCTCACTCAACCAAAATAATATTTTAGAACAGTGGTTGCATTTCGGGCGAATATAAACATTACTGGGTTTTGGTATAGACGCATTATTAGGCATGCGCACATACCCGTCCTCTTTTGGGCATGCATGAACGTTGAACATCGCAGAACTCGCACTCATAGTAGCAACACGATTATGGAACTTGGGGCTAGATCTTACTCGTTTCATGTCTATCCCTTCAAAGTACCAGCTGATGAAATCCGAGCAAGGATCTCGAAACCTGTTTTAATCGCTGCCTCTGAAGAAGCAGATTTTTCTGCGTTGTTCCTATCTAGTTCCTTAGGCAAGAAGCATGTCTCGCTACACTACGAATGCCGCTCCATATCTAAGCAACATTGTGAGATGGTGCATGTGTGAGATTATGTATTTCGCGCAAAGTAGGAGGACTTTCAAATTCTTGTAACACTGAAAATACTACTAAATATGGAAAGTTTTTTCCTCAATGGGTCAAAAAAATGCAATTTATCAACACGATCATCTCCATATTACCACCCGTATGCAATTTGAGGCATTTCATCACATTAACATTTCATTCCTTAAAAAGAAAACGTATTGACGGTGACTTGGGAACAACGTGAAATGCATTCTGAGGTCTGTTACACATTTTATTTTGGATTCGACTATTTTCTATTATATTTTACAACTGGTCCAACCCAGAGACATAAAGCAAAGCCCTGAGAGTAGAATGGCGACTGCGTCTGTTCTGTTTCTGGAGTCGGGGAGGGGGAAATGTACCGTACCCGCTCCGGTCGGCCTCGCTGCCGTCACCCCAAGTTGACGTTGGTCGTGTTCTCTCTCTTTTTCTCCCCGTCCCCGCGCGTGCCTGGCATTCTGTGCCGCCGCGCGTGCAGGGCGCCGGGATGGATCAGGGCTATGGCGGCCGCGGTCGTGGGGGCGCCCCGGGAGGCTTCCGCGGCGGTCGAGGGGGCTTCCGGGGCGCTCCCAGAGGGGGCCGAGGCAGGGAGGCCGAAGGAGACGACTTTCCCAACAAGCGCCCGCGCATGTTCTGAGAGCTGGCCACCGCGACAGCAGTGCAGACCCACCAGGCAGGGCTGAAGAGGTGGCCCTAGCCATGCCGAGCAGAGCCGCCGGGGGCGAGCTAACAGACATTTTTGATGGCGACCTACGGCCGCCGGCAGACGGGACGGTCTCGGCGGCCGGCGCGGCCACGGCCGGGTGTGACTTTGTGTCATGTTCAGTGTTAGATGGGTAGAGATACCGTAAACGAAGCGAGCACTTTTTATTCATATTTTGTGACATTTTTCATTTGTTTGAACTTATTGAAACACTCATAAGGTAGAGGAACTTTCCAATTGCTAGGAATGCACGATATATGAAACAGTATCCAGAAACCGGTGGACAGCTACAATTAAAGCTACGAGCTAAGGCACGAGCGTGCATTACAAATACGTGCAAAACGATGAGGTACATCAACGTCATGCGTTTCAGACCTCGAGACGTAATATCCAGTACTCGCATTCACTAGCATTATGCTTCTGTAAATATTGTCATGATTCGTGTGCTATCATTTCGCCGAATAAACAAAATGCTGAAGGTACGTAGATACCACCAAAATGTTGTGTTCCATTATGCCCTCTCGTAAGACCCCCATGTACGAAGAGAGCAGAGAACCCCAGTTGCAAAGCGTGAATGAAGTAACTAACTAGTATTGCTCATTCAGATGTGAGGTATGTATTGCGTAAGGTAAAGTAAAATCAAAAATGGTAAAGACATGGCATCGAGACAGAATGGTGCCGAATTCTACCTGGTACGTATCTCTTGAATCGTTCATACAGTTATGCAACCCTTCATGTGAAGTCATTCTGAGTTCCCAGTAGAGCGTTTGTTCTTTTTTTCATTTGTTTGGTCAACTTTGTGTAGATGTTTTATCAGGCGAGAATGTGCCTAGAATCGGGCCATTGGATAAACGCGGCTCGTTTTGCAGGTAAGCTCAAACCCCCCGATCAGGAAATTCAGGATAGATGGCAATATTTACTCCCTCCATGGATGGGTCCTGAGCTTTCTCTTGTACCGGTCCAAAGAGAAGAAACATGAATTCGACAAAAAAAGTCTGACTTTTGAACGGCTTTTGGTACGTTACTGTTTTGTCAGGTCAGGTCTGTTCTAGATTTTTTTTCATAAAAGAGCACAAAGCAATTAAATTCAGTGACATCGAAGAAAACTTTGTTGAAGAGTATCCAGCTTGAGAATTAGGATAAAAATAAGTTTATACATTTTTATTGTAAGAACATTTGATAGGTCAAGCGACGAAATGGAATGTCGCATCGTTGTCATTTGCAAAGTATTTTTCGACCATTACTATCAGCCGAAGTGACCGCTCCGACTGTCTCGACACTTCGTAGCTGGTGAAGTTGAGGTTGATGCATCCAGTCGCGATGGTCGGATGATGCTGGTTTCTTTGGGGTGGGTTTTTAAGTGCCGAGCTTACGAATGGAACAGTTTGTTATGACATCATACATGGCATTCGTTTTGGGGCATTCCACGTCAAGTGGGACAAAAAATGATCATTTTGAACCTCACTTCCTCCGATTTTTGCGAAACTTTGTGAAACTACTCATCTATATGTGAAAAGAAAGGAGACATATTTTTGTCAAGATATGACGTCACGTTTCCGAGATACACGTCATCAAACATTGACTTAGGCAAGGCACATTATCATCTTTAAAGCGTCATAACTATTGAAGTTTTAGACATATCACCACGAGACAAAGTGTGAAATGGAGGGAATAGGTCAGGCTTTAATTTGAGGATAACAATATTGACGTAATTAACTAATTAGTGAACTTTATTAAAATTCAAAAAATAAATTTTGATTTCTGAAAAATGGGTACCCTTCGATTTTGCTGATTTTTACATATTTTATTCTCCTATACATCAGCTACATCATATAAAAAATCCAGAATGGGCCGACGTCTACGTAACTGTCTTTTGGACTTCGTAATGTCTGGCACTCGCGTGTTTCGTTTTAGCAACCAAGTAGAGGCGCTACCCGGAGATGCTTCTTTCTACCCCAAACCAAAGCAAACCTAACCTGACCTGACCTAACCTAATCTAACACGCGTAAATATATACAGCCATCACGGCAGTTGCCGACTGGCCAAATGCTACCTAGATACGAACATTAGCCCTCACGACAGTTGCCGGCTGGCCAGATGCTACTTAAAAAACAAATGCGTGTTAAACACTTCAGGCTGACCCACTGCGAGCCAGCGACCTTTAGATTTCGAGGTGGGTACACTCGGCACACTTACTACTAAGCCACGAAGATAGCTGGTCATCGTAAGCCAGTTTTTTAATGATGAAATTGGGCATTCTCCGGGCAGCGCCTCTCTTTGGTTGCAAAAAGAAAATACGCCTGACTCTCCCAGCGCTAGGGGAGAAAAGCCCGGTTTACCCAAAAAAGGTATAAAAAAGGAATTTGAATTGTAGGTGGGGCGGTGGGGAACTTTATCGTGTCACGTGTGTCAATTTCATGGCCCTAGATCAATATATTCAAGATCAAATGAGGTTAAACGTGATCAAATTTGCTTTAGTGACTATTTTGCGTTTATACACCCATAGCTCTAAGAGATACTGGCCGATTTTCCTATTTCTTCCTTTATACGACATTTGTAGTGTTATGAGAATCTCTAGTTAATCTTACAATAAATTTGGCAGTTAGTGGCTTGCTAAGAGTAAGATGTCGCCGGCAGAGGCGGGGATCGGCCAACGCGGGAAACGTCATAGTCACATATTGTGTTTGCACCCTAATAATTTAATTTTACCAGTAGATTTTCGCATTTATTTGAACATTAGATTGCCTGTACATTTTTAGGTCTTCACACAAAATTTGACACGAATCCATCATAATCAGCGGTAAGAAGCGCGGTGCAAAGATGGAACCGTCCCGCGCCGGCACAGTCTACCATTCAGGCGGCAACGGCCGGCGCCGGCCGCCAAGCCGCTCCGGCAGGAATGTTTGACTTTACACCGCTATTACTAGACAAGTTGTGGACCGATTTACCTATTTCTTGCACGGGAGGATTTGCAATTCGATTCTGGACAGATACTGAAAGTTTGACATTAATATAATAATTATGGTGTGAGTTATTAGCGAAAAACAGGTGGGGTTGGCGAAATCCGCTCCCTTCCACTGCGCGTGAACGCTGCACTTCTTGTTGCTATAACATCCAAAGTTATCGTTGGCCCACTCTAATTTTCTCAGCACGTGTGCCTTACGTGTAGTGTAACACAATATCTAAATTTGAGCAAAATCGAAGGGTACCCATTTTTCACAAATTACATTTTAAGAAATTAATTCAAAATAAAATAAATTCAAAATCACCAAAAAATGTGAAAGTTGTCAAAATTTACTAGCATAACTCTTTACGTACACGTTTCAGTTTGTTTGAAATTAATAGCTTCAAAAATGTTGAAGCTATAGATCTTTCAAGATTGCAATACACGTCCAATTCTGCTCAAAAAGCAGAAGTTTAGCGACTTGTATCTCTGTACCCCGAGGGCATATGACAAAATCCTTTCACCCTCAGAGGTTTCACCCAATAGCCAATAAGTATGCCAAGTTTGAACAAAATCGCAGAGGTGGCCGATTTTGGCTGTCCCGGTTGACATGGAATGCCCCTTTTTCAGATCAGTCTGCACTTCATGACCTGAGGTCTTCCACAGGATCGAGATTTTCAACGTGATGGCAGGCGGTAATGATACGCGGCACCGTAAAAACGCCCCAGTGTGTGGTAACAGGGATCACCAGGTGACCTTCGACATGAACATCCGAGCACATTAGCTACGATGGTTCAGAAATACCATCGTGTTTCCCATCGTTTTTATCCCCATCGCATTCTGATGGGCTAGAAAATGATTCTTCTTCACATTAGTCTAAACTAGCATGTTTTCGTATAGTGTCACACAATAGTACCATGGTATCATGTAGAAGCACTTCGTGAAGCCGAATCATGGGTATGTCATTTAGATGCATTTTCATTCAAGCATATAGCTACTGATAAATTTTCAGTGTTCATACCAAAGACGACAAAGACCGATGCGATCCAGTTGCACCTAAAGCTCAAACACCATGATCGACATACCATCCTGAGCTTTATTAATATTTTTTTTTCCAAAAAGATGTCGCATAAAGAAACTAAACTGCATCATGCTGAGTGATGTTGCAAGTGTACACTTGTGATATATCAAGTTTAACTAATGTTTGATGGGCACTTAACAATCTGATGGCTCGGTACGTCTAACAGGGATATTACCGAAGGAATCTTCAATCTGTGTCACCAATTTTTCCGCTTTTCCTCTTAAGCTCGGTATTCCTGGATAACTTCGTGTAATTATTTGCATAAACATGGGCTGCGCCGTATATTGGCTAGCACCGACCATGCACCAAGTGTGCTTGCTTTCTTCATTTCCTGACATGCTTCCAATATTTTTGTCCATAAGTAATTGCATAGATGCATGCTAGACACCCTGTATTTTCTCAGTTCTTCTAATGTCTCTAATGTTCTTCTAATGTTATAAATGATGTACGTAACATTTTAGCGGTGGTGACTAGTAGGGTGTGTCGACAGAGGGGTTTTTCTCACAGATTCGCGTTAGACAAAGATATAAATTGGCGGGAGCATGCCAAAACACTAGCCCTGCAGTTGGTTTTGCGTAGAAATGCGATTTGACGAGGCTCGGGCAGGTCGAAGTTACAGCGAAAAAGTCGCAGTCGACGGTGCTGCCACCTACATTGCCAATAACGGGCACTATCATATCGTTATAATTGGGGTAGTTTCAAATGAGAAATGACTTCTATTTTTGTTCAAACTGCTTAAGAAGAAATAAAACAATTCGGAAACATACATTTTTCCCAAATATCGCGTTCCATTTTTTCCTGTTGAGTTGTTAGGAAAGTGGTAAATTTCAAGGTTGACGGCTAAAAAACGAAACAGGAGGAACAGAGCAGGAATCACCAAGACGTGTGCCGCGCCGATGCTGTAGCCTGTAGATAAGGGGTGAGCAACAGAACCAGCATACCTAACGATTTTGATTAGTGATAGATATTTTTCTCTAAATGAAAGACTATTAGTAACTCAGGCAAGCCTTCTAATATAGGTATCGACAGGGTTGCGGTAAAAGGTACAATCGATGGCAAATTACAATTATTCTGAGTTGGGAAACAACACTCTTCAGATACCTACCATCAACAACCTCACTATCTCCTATATGGGAGCTATTTCATCTGATTCCAGCGCCCTGAAAACAAACAGGTTATCATCAAAAATCTCTGTATTAGCGCCTACCGACATATGCTGAATGACGCTATCAATGCCCAACATTTGTAAAAGGTGATTCGCCACACAGCCCGCCGGCGTCGGAGGGGTTGAATCAGTGAGCCAGATTGCCAGCGACTCACCGCTGAACTACCGGGGGTAACAAAACGGACGATGCGACATGACTCAGAGATCATCACAGACGCGACGGTAAGCCGCCAACAGCTCCTCTGATGTACCTATGCTTTAAAAATGTTGGCCAAAATTTAAGATCTATGTTATCTAGTGCTAATATTT